TTTGCAGTTTGAATGACATCATATAACTCTATAATTAGAGGAAGGATGATGCACAGCTTGATGAGGTTTTCAAGCAGAATATGTTTACATTGTGTCCATGGATAAACTTTAGATACTTACTGGGAAAAAAAGTATTTTCAATTTTTTGAAAAAAAAGTAGTTCTTCATAATTTCTTTTGCTTGTTATATAAATATATTCACGTCGAAAAACTCTTTTATACAGTGCGCACAAAATATAAAAATATGTAAGTTCAAAATAAAAGAACTTCGGATGAGGGATAGAGAGGTTCATATAGAATAAATTTTACTGTATCACATTCCAATGTCTCAAGTTAGTTAAATAAATTAAGTAAGTATTTATTGTATGTATTGATTTTTTAACAGAGTTTAATTTTTTTAACACAGATCAGATTTTTAACATAAAAAATATCCTAATTACACACCCTACAGAAAAACTTTATTTAGTTTTTTGGAGTCTTCTCCGTAACTCTTTCATTTTAATTTTTAATACTTCAAAAAGTTGAAATTCAAAAACTATTTAATTTTTCAAATCTCAAAATATCTATATTTTTTGTGCACTTTGCTGTAGAAAAAAAAACGGAATTTTTTAAGGTAAATTATATTTATGAAATAACAAACAAGTAAAATTAAGAATAAATTTTTCCGAAAAATCGAAAGTAAGTAATGTTTTTTTCTAGTAGGTAAATACTTAAGTTTATAATATATGTAGATAGTAAAATAAGGGTGGACACAGTATATAAATATTGTTAATAATTATTGGAATTTACACTATTTCTGATGACTTGATTAGTCCAAAGTTGGTTTGTTGATCTTTCACTTAAAAACAATTTCAAATTGTTTGTTTTTTTTAATGACCTGTTTTTGAATATATTATGAGATAAAAAAAAAATTAGTTTTATTTAATTCCTGATGCCTAAAAATATTATTTATATCCGATTGACCAATAAAGTGCTATTTATTGACTAGTTTTGCATCAATAAAGAAGCACTTTATTTTACTGTAAAATAAAGTACTACTTTATTGCCTACCTGGACTACCTGAAAACCTGCCAAGGTGAAGCAGGTATACTCAAATTTTAATTTTGCCAATCAAGAGGCTTTCTTGATTCATTATTCAATAGCCTCGCTCGCAAGCTTGCTTGGCCTTAAAATTATTTGTACAGTAAAGCCTTATTTCATGTACTTATTATATAAATAGCTATTAATTATCAGAGACTATTAGTGAAAACTAAATTGATGTAATAATAGTCATCAAATAAGGTAAACGCACCTATTATCAAAACCTTAAGTGAAATTTTAGTTTTCTATTGGCCATTTGCACGGCTATCACTGAAGGGATATTTCTTAAGACAGATATTTATTCTAAGTGGAACTTTGAATGTGACTTTTGTTTATTCAAGAGTCACATTTAAAGCTCCACTTGGATTTATTATCCCTTAAGTTATAGCGGTGCAAATGACCGTTAGTTAGACAAAAAATACCTACTAGCCTAAAATCATTGTGAAATTTGGTACCTACTTAGGTAGCTTATGTAGTTGGCTTTTAACTGGTTTTAGCAAATTATCACTAGATTTTTTCTATTTTCAATAAAATAATTGAGCAGGATGTCATTTTTCACCTATTATCGACACTTGAAATTTGAGATTGCCCCCAGCATCAACACAGTAAGACCTTTTCATCGACATACGGTTTTTTAAAGTTGTTTTTAATTAAAATATTGAGTAATTTTGGAAAAACCATCTTCTAATTTTAATTTCTGAGACAGAAGCACTTGCATTGGTTAAGTTTTTCAAGATTTTTGCAGATATTTTTGGATTTCTTCTCATAAACCCCTCGTACCAAACCAATGCCTTCGAGGTCTTCCGTCTTTAAAATGGTGGGCTTTTTTTCAACCACTTTACAAGCATTTCCACACTGTCTAGCTGATCCTTAATGACTGGAAATCCACAACCAGCCAGGTATAATAACTATTCAATCAATGCATTTTCATCTTGTTTAGTGAGGACTGTTAATATTCCTATTTGCCTAGGAAAACTTCATGAGACCGAAATGCGGACATTTTTCCCGATTGCACTGCTTTACTGCTTACTGCCTGATTCATCGCCTCTTCGAAGTATTGTGAGTGAGCTTTTGAAGCTGAAAGAATTTAATTTAATTAATTCTATCATCAACATTAAAATGTACACCTACCTATCAAAATAAGAATTTTAATAACCACACTTTTTAAATGGTTTGTAAAATATGGTGTCGATAACTGTATTTACGAAAATTTTATCTAGGGGCGTTTACCTTACGCCGTTTTCAATTTTTTATGCTGGCTGTTCATTTAAATTATTAAAAATCCTATAAATAATATTTAAAAGTAACAAGAGGTTGGGAACAAGATGGCGGCGGGACCTCTATTGTCGCCACTGTATGTTATTTAGCCACTGTAGTGCAACGTATTTGTCAATGAAAATGTCAAACAACTTTTGAATGACACTTGTCAAGTTGACTATCAACTTTAGATTTATTCTTGTCAAACCACGTGCAATGAACAAGGATAAAGAGATGCCCAGTGTGCAAAACGATCACCTCACACCTGTATTAGCTAGCCAATAAAAAGACATTGCCTCGTGTTGCGCGCGCATACCAGGTAAAAATAGATAGGTCTATTCCCCAAGTCAGAAATTTAGTAACTATGTTGGCAACACAAGTGTTTTCTACATAAAAAAATTAAAAGCAATAAAGAATCATGGCACTTTCAAATAGCGACGGTCACTAATAAAAACGTTCTTATTTTGACATTATTGACATCTACGCATGCGCATTTGTGACTAAACGGTCAGTAATAAAATAAGGATCATCCTTATTTGTGATTGGATAGTGATATATTTCATATTTTTTGAGACATACGCAAATATAAATCAAATGTCAGTTATCCAAGAATTTTTCAGATTCTAACCTCACATAATTTGTTTATATTTTTTGTTTGTGTTTTGTGGGTGGATAACACCGAAATATATCATTTGCATCCCCTAGAATGGCAGTTTCTAACTTTTTTTTTTATTACAATTGAGTAAACAATGCGACACTGACGTGAAAAGGATATCAAAATAGTGCCAATAATTGAACATGTTGTGCCATAATTCTTTTTATTAGGCAGTTCAAACCACATGACATTCAAGATGGCGTGGCGGCCACACATGAGCCAAAAAACACAAAAAAAAATATCTAATTTCTGCCCGAATTAATAGTTTAGGTACCTAGTTAACAAATATTTTATTAAATAATGAAAATCAAAGTTGTAAGCAAAACTCTATGCAAAATAATTTAAAATACGCATAAAAACATATTCAAAACAAACTTGCTTGGCCGCCACGCCACATTGAATTTTCCTTTTTGACAGATGGATTGAATTGCCTAATTCATGAAAAATAGTGACTGTCAGTAATTAAATAAGGCCGATCAGTATTAAAATCGATCACTATTTGGAAAGTGCCATAATTCTCTATTGACAATTTTACATTGTATTCAGCGCTCCACACTTTATGCCTCCTGTTACATGCACGTGAGTGCACGTGATCTCATGTCACGTGAGCTCAGTCTGTATCTGGTTTTAGGGCAGGGTTGCGGACAGTCCCGATTTTTAGAAACATTTCCGAACCGTCCCGATTCACGAATTAAATGCCAAATGTCCAGATTTTTCAAAATGTAAGGGAATATAATGTTCCCCCGGCCGACGACACCTTTTAGGCTGCGTTTCTCTTGATCAACGCGAAGCGGCTAGAAAAATTGTGGGTTGCCTACTTTTTTGGTTCGGTCGACAACAACAAGTGCCGACTATAAAATGATATTCTTTTTCTTTCTAGACCATAATATCATTATATATACCTTCTCTTTCTAGTAATGGTAGCAAAATAGAGTTTTCGTTTCTTAAGTGTGAGGCCGGCTTCTCATGAGCGTAAACTTGACATAACTTGCGTAAATGCTGAATACGTGAATTTTGGCGCAACATTCACATGGAATGGAGAATTTACGCCGCCGCGTATGTCAAAATTATATTTTTTTTCCTAAATTTTGAAATATTTCTTTGAATTTTGATTCTATAAATTTGTATTTGTTTTTGCTTTAGTTCCAAATAGTTACAAATATAGACAGTAAATTACAAAAATCAAGAAAACGAAACGGTTGCAACCTTAACCTCTAAAAACGCTGAATTTTTACGCGAAAAGTTGAACTTTGCTCAACTTTTGGCGTATCTGTGGCAGAGTGTCAGCGTATCCAATATGGCGGGATTTTGGCCAATCAGAATTCTGCATTCAGGTACGCTGTCACGCCATAAATGTCAAATTGCGCTCATGAGAAGCCGTCCTAGTCACGATTTGACAAACAGCTTTGTTCCAACACTAATAGGAAACCGTATAATACAATGTACCTTCACCATTCTGCGCAACGCATTTAAAAAATATACACCATAAAACTCCTTCTATTTCTCAATATTTTTACCTTAATTTTTGTTTATTGGGCAATCCAACGACCTGTCCAAATGGCGTCTGGTTGGCAAATAATAAGCAAAAAACATGTTTTTATTTTGACGGGATTAAGCCTAGTACTCATAACCGCGAAATTCGTTTTTTTTTGACGTTTGATTCACACATAAAACGTCAAATTGTCGAAGCAATGTCAAAAAACAGCGAATTTCGCTGTTATGAGTACTAGGCTTTATCAATACTGACATCGTTGACATGTAACAACCCGGATTCTAACCTCATAAAAATTTCAAAATGCCGGCTGGTTGGCAAAAGTCATGTGGTTTGGACTCCCTAATTCTCAGCTCTTAAATTTTCGTTTTCATCTAAAATTCTGTGGTTTAATTTGCCCTAAACCTAGTTTTTTAATTTTTTTTTGTGGATAAAAATTTCAATTCACTGAAGAATTAAAATCAACTTAGTTTCTAGGCTAAACAAATTCACTTTAGTTTATTAAGGGAAAAAATAAATACTCAATTTATTTTAATATTTTTTTATATATTTTTATTAAGGTTACAATCTTAAGCCTTCTTGGCTGCAGGCGCTTTCTTGGCTGCAGGCGCTTTCTTGGCTACAGGCACCTTCTTGGCTACAGGCGCCTTCTTGACTGCAGGCGCTGCAGCCAATTTTGCCCTCTTTTGTTGCGACAAAATCGCCTCCCTTTTCAATACAGCGGCGAATGGATTGAGCCTGACCAAAGCCTTGGTGTTGGTCAATGGATTGAGACGACGTACACGACGAACAATCTTTTTCCTAGAAAAAAAACACAACATTTTATAAACATCAACAAAATTAATAAATACAGTTTTTTTTCAAATTAAAAAAAGCATCAGAAATGAATGTCAAAAAGTAATCATGGTTAATTTGATCATAACCCAGTGCTCAGAAAGCATTTCATCATGTTAATTAATTGTTTTAGATTAATGAGAAAATTACTAAAAAAACACTAGAAAAATTCTTACTGTGGTTTCCTCAAAACAGCCTTGATTTCGTCAGATTTCAACAATCTTGAAAGATCAGTGTTGGCCATTTTGGTCTGAGGCAAATTGCCTTTCTGAGCTGAACTACTGCCGAAAACTTTGTCCAATTTTCCAAAAGCTGATTCTGTCCAAATGATAAAACGTCCAACATGACCACCAGGGGCCAATTTCAAAAGATTGAGTTTTTCAACACTGATTAAGTCGATTCCGGGAATGTTACGGAAGGCTCTACGAAGACCTAGAATTGATTGTATATTAGTCAAAATTTAGAAAAAAAAATTATTGTATCGTGAAGTATATTCCTTAAAGCATTTAAAAACCCAAAAGGAAAAAGTTAATCACGAAATTTTACTATGGCACTTGTTTGGATCATTTAAACTACGAAACAGAGTCAAAATGGAACGAAAAGTGCTCAGAAATAAAAAATTTAAAAAATTACCTTGATCTTGATGGTAGACAACCAAAGGCCCTTTACGTTGGATTCTCCTCCTGTTACGCATCTTACCTTTACCGGCACGGAAACGTTGACTTTTGTATACCTAGAACAAACATTACCTTTTTTATAAAATCATTTTCAAAAAATTTTATAAAAAATAATAGATTTTTGAACAAAAATCAGAGCTTTTGAATAGTTCAAATCACTAAAGAGTCATAAACACGGACCAAAAGCAAATCATCATATTATTTTTGTATAATTTTTTAAACACGAGAAAAAATATTTTGTTACCTTTTGGATGTCTGGCCAAGCCTTGATCCGTCTCAAAAATTGAACCGCTTGTTTGGTCTTGGTCAATTCCTGGACTTTGTCGGAAACTACCAGAGGCAATTCAGGGATTTGATCAACAACGTGTCCTTTGGACATGACCAAAGCTGGCACGCCACTGGCGGCAATAGCTGAAGCCAAAGCATAACGACGCTGATTGATGTTTACACGTCTGAAAAAAAATTAAAAACAAATTGAAGATGTTTTTGAGGATTTTTTAATTTTAATAAAATTTTATTTGTATCAGAAGTGAATGTCAAAAAAGTAATCATGGTTATTTTACTCATAACCCAGTGCTCAGAAAGCATTTCATCATATTGGGAAAAATAGAACAATTGAAAATATTGACTAGTTCTTACCTTTGCCAACGGCGCCAAGGTTTGGTGGGAGCGAACATACGACCACCACGACACATGTTGCCGAAAGCACCCTGTCCGGAACGATGGGTACCACCACCACGGACACGGGGAATACGGGCGACGGCACGTCCAGTACCCCAGGATTCAGCAGAAGTTTGATGTCCTTAAACAAAAAAAAAATAATCAATTCCTCGCTCAATTAATAATGCAATTGATTTATTGATTTGTGAATATTTATCAGTGCTTTTGAATAGTTGAAATCACTAAGTTTAGTCATAAACACGGACCAAAAGGCAAATCATCATAGAATTTGTTTTACTTACATTTTAATATTTTTCTGGAAAACTACTCAAGAGAAAATTATAAAACTTTTAGGATAGAAAGAGGAAAATTAGGAGCTCATTATATATTCCTGGACAAAATTATTGCACCACTGCACATAAGCACCACCATAAGCAGTGGTGCGATAATTTTGTCCAGGACTATACTTAAATTTCAAATTTTTCCCGTGAAAAACATGAGAAATTGATGGAAATGAACATGTAAAATCTAAATTAAGCAAAAATGCAATCTCTTAGATTTTGGTATTTTTCTGTAAAACTACTCAAAAAAAAATTATGAAACTTTTAGGATAAAAATGGGAAGATTAGGAATCTGACTATAAAATCGAGATGTTAGTTCAAGGTTGTCACCGCTTTAATTATGCAAATAAGGCAATCGGAATATAAAATCGATATGTTTATGTTAGTTCAAGGTTGTTACCGCTTTTGCATACATTGAGTGCCGACTCATAGATAGGCAATTACTTATACATAATAGAAGTCGGGTAAGTGTTTGGAAGAAGTCCGGAGAGGTCAGGAAAGGGCTGGATAAGGTCGGAAGAAATCTAGACAAGTCTGGATAAAGTCTGGATAAGGCTGGAAAAAGTTTAGCTAAGTCTGGAAAAGTTTGGATAAGTTTGGATAAAGTCTGGAAAAGCCAGAAAATTTCTGGAAACGTCTGGAAAAGGCTCTATTAGGTCTGGAGAAATCTAGACAAGTCTGGATAAAGTCTGGAAAAATCTAGCGAAGTCTAGAAAAGTCTGGATAAAGTCTGGAAAAGCCTGGAAATTTCTGATAACGTCTGGAAAAGGCTTGATAAGGTCTGGAAAAATTCAGACAAGTCTGGATAAAGTCTGGAAAAGTGTATTTGAAGTCGGGAAAGTGTTTGGGAGAAGTCCGGAGAGGTCAGAAAAGGGCTGGATAAGGTCTGGAGAAATCTAGACAAGTCTGGGTAAAGTCTAGCTAAATCTGGAAAAGTCTGGATAAGTTTGGATACAGTCTGGAAAAGCCAGAAAATTTCTGGAAACGTCTGGAAAAGGCTCTATTAGGTCTGGAGAAATCTAGACAAGTCTGGATAAAGTCTGGAAAAATCCAGCCAAGTCTAGAAAAGTCTGGATAAAGTCTGGGAAAGTCTGGAAATGTCGGGAAACCTCTGGAAAAGGCTTGATAAGGTCTGGAGAAATTTTGACAAGTCTGCATAAAGTCTAGCTAAGTCTGGAAAAATCTGGATAAAGTCTGGAAATTTCTGGAAACGTCTGGAAACGCATGGAAATTTCTGGATTGGCTCGGAAAAATTCTGGAAAATCTGGAAAGGGTTGAATTTTAGCGGATCTCAAAGCTCACAATAATCACAAGCATTAGCGTTGAAGTTTGCTTCGGCATTTTCAATGTTCTCCTCGGTTGCATCTTTGTGAAGGACTCTGAATTTTTTACTTATGTGACAATTCTCTGACAATATGCCTATTAGCTGGGCTATTAGATATTGCTCTGTAGATGGTTGTTTTTCAAAGCAAGGAAGTGGTTTAATATTTTTTCGAGGTCCAATAGAAGAATCTAGGTATGTATAGGGTTTTCCAATAGTAACGCTCGATGTTTGACAATAGCCCATGAAAAACTCGATAGGCACACAGGTGCTATCTTTGGCAGCCGTATTCAATTAGTCTCTGCATTTTATTATGGAGCGCTACACGATTGAGCAACGCGTCGGAATTGTTAAAAATTATTATCATTATCAAAACCAATGTTCTATTCGGAAAACGTTTCGTGCACTCCGTGCAATTTATGATGTCAACGATGGTCCTTCAGAATCCACAATTGGCCGACCTAACGTCACTGGATTTTTTTCTCTAGGCATTCTAAAATCCAAAGTCTATGTTGACAAATCTCGAACGGTTGCCGCCTTAAAGGCCAATATTAAGCACTTATTGCTGAAATTGAGCCATTTTGATGCGATAACGAACACTAAATGATTCTAACGACAATCTAAAATTGTCGGAGAAATGTATTGATAATTCGGATATTGTTGAAAACATCTATGAGAAGTGAAGTCCGTCGATTTTAATCTAATACTCGAAAGAAATGTGAGCTGGTGGCACCCTACATTTGAACGCCAATGGTCACCTAACGTCACCCCTGGTTTTCGCTTCACCCCCTCGCTCCTCATTCGAAAAGTCGACGAACAATACTAAAAGAAGGAAGATTCAGGGACTTGACCAAATCTGCAATACTTTCTGCAAGAAATGTTGATGTCGAAGAAATAAACGAATAAGTTGTCGAACTGTTGGACGTCAAGACCGAAAACTCTACACCAGTATAGATAGTGTCAAGAACTGTGATAATAGTGATCTAAATGATGCTATTCTTCCAAAATATTTAAATTGGCTTAATCCGCCGAATTCCCGCTCCATGAATTACGATTGAAAACGAATTCTATTGTATGCTTATTAGAAATCTAAGCATCAGTGCAGGCCTTTGCAATGGTACAAGGCCTTTAGTTCTGGAACTTGGGGATAATCTGTTACGCTGTGAGATATTGACTGTAGATAAACAGGGAGAAATAGTGTTCATAAATCGAATAACACTCTACTGCGAAAACGTCTACCCCTTTACGTTCAAACAATGACAATTTTAAAATAAAATTAGCCTTTGCAATGAATGACGATTAACAAATCTCAAGGACAAACATTTGATAGGATAGTAATTGATCTCCAGAAAGGATGTATTAGTCACGGACAACTTTATGTGGCGCTTTTCAGAGTTCGTTCGTGGGACTCATTGAAAGTTTATTCAGGGAAACAAAGAGGCAATAGTGTTGTCAAAAACCATGTTTTTAAAGAATTGTTTTTTTGATAATTTAATTTTGAAATTTCGCAGTCATAGGTGATTTCAGAAGATCTTTACAACTTATTTACAAGATATTTGAAGATCACAAGACAAAAACCTGAACACGATAAACATAAATAATTGAAAATAACGAAGAACGACATGAAGACTTAGCACTCTTTAAACTTTGGATTCTTACGAGTTCCATAAAATAGAATAAGTTGCACTGGACATATGCACACCGTATATTCAAAAAATAAGATCGATTTAAAGTCATTACGATATACCGCAAAAGTAATAATTCGCCAACTACTTTGATCACATTTAAAATTTATGTCTACCACGTAGGTACAAACAAAAAATGTAAGTTGAATAATTGAGCAATTGCATTTAAAATCTTTTAAAAAATTTTTTTTTCGATTGTTGGCAGTAAAATGTTGATCGAGTAGACTTCAATAACTGGCCTAATAAAAAAAAGGAACTTCATGAAAGTGTAAAAAAAAAAATTAAGACTCGATATCTCGTATTATACCACAGCACATAAATAGTTACTAACTCGGTTTATAATAACACCTTGATTATGGTTATGATTATTCTGTTTTAAATAAACCACTTCGAAAAATGTATACCTACACCTACGAGTTCCATAAAACAAAATGAGATAAGTAGACATACGCACACCGTACATTCAAGAAATGTGATCGATTTAAATTCATTAGGATATACCATACAAAAATAATTAGTCACCAACTCCATCCATCGCATTTGAAATTTATTCACTAGAATAACATCTATACAACTTATCTCACTGTTACATTTAATGTATAATGTACATTTAAATCAAAAATTATGCTGTTTTTTGTACAACACCTAATAAATATTTTCCATTTTATAATTATTTTGATGGACTTGATTTAAAAAAAAAGCGCGCGAAGCGCGATCATGACCTAGTTGTAATAAAATGTCATAATTTTCCAGTGAAAAACTATATGGATATATCATAAAAAATTAATGAAAATCAACTTGCAATTAAAGAAAAATGCAATCTCTTACATTTAAATATTTTTCTGGTAAACTAATAAAGGGAAAATTATGAAACTTTTAGGAATAAAAGAGAAAAATTAGGAGTTCATTATACTAAAATTTCAAATTTCTTCACTGAAAAACAACACCATGGGAAATTAATGAAAATCAACTTGCAAAATCTAAATCAGGCAAAAAGGCAATCAATCTCTTACATTTTAATATTTTTCTGGAAAACTACTGAAGGGAAAATTATGAAACTTTTAGAATAAAGAGAGGAAAATCAGGAGCTCATTATACTAAAATTTTAAATTTCTTCACTGAAAAACAACACCATGAGAAATTGATAAAAATCAACTTACAAAATCCAAATTAAAAAAAAGTCCAATCTCTCACATTTTGATAGTTTTCTAGGAAACTATTCAAGGGAAAATTATGAAAATTTTAGGATAAAAAGAGGAAAATTAGGAGCTCATTATACTAAAATTTCAAATTTTTCCAGCAAAAAACAACACCATGAAAAATTAATGAAAATCAACTTACAATTAAGCAAAAATGTTACATTTCAATTAGGGATGCGCCGCAGCATCGGTTCGGCCTATTTGTTTACTATTCGGTTTTGGCCGAAGCAATAGTCGGATTCGGCCGAAGCGACGCGACAAAAATTTTTTTGTCGAGACTTGTTGAGTTGCGCAGTAAGTGTTTTGGTTATAGTTTTTATTTCATGTTATAAACGTAATTGTGCAACGTCTTGAGCAATTTAGCGTATTTAAACGTAAAAATGAATAAAAAGTCAAGTGATATTTGGAAATAATATTTATTAAGTGAGGATAATAATAGATATGCAATCTTTTCGCTTCTGGAAACCCTTTACACAAGTCTGAATGGCGGAGATGTGGCTGCAGCAGTGTTTTGCGACTTTTCAAAGGCCTTTGACTGCGTAAATCGCGAAGTGCTGCTGCGGAAACTTCACCGCTGTGGTATACGGGGAAAGGCGAATCTGTGGTTCAAGACATATCTCTCCGAGAGGGTTCAGGTGGTGAAAGTTGGCGATGATGAGTCGGCTCCCTTAGTATGTCACTATGGTGTACCGCAGGGATCGGTGTTGGAACCTGTTCTTTTCTTGGTATATATTAATGACCTTGCGATGGTGAATATTCGGGGTAAGTTCACTCTCTTCGCGGACGACACCACTCTTCTATGGCATGCGGAAACAGGCGAGAATCTCAGGGAGATGATAACTACAGATTTACCAAAAATCAAAGGTTGGTGTGATGCTAATTCTCTCAGCTTAAATATCGCTAAAACTAGTATACTTACTTTTGGTTTTAATTTTAATGACTTAATGATAAATGATCAACAAATCGAAAATGAACCAGTCACTAAGTTCTTGGGCCTTCTCATAGACAACAAACTTAAATTTGATAGACACATTTCATCATTGAGCTCTAGGCTGGCCTCTGGTTGCTTTGCTATTAGAGTAGTTTCCAACGAATTGGGTACCGCGACGGCAAGGATGGTGTATTTTTCACTTTTTGAATCGCACCTTCGATACGGTATAACATTTTGGGGTTTTTGTAATCAACAATTGTTTAATTCAATATTTGTTCTGCAGAAAAAAGCAATACGAATTATGTGTCGGGTGGGAGTGAGGGAACATTGCAGACCACTGTTTATTACACAGGGGATATTGATAGTAGTGTCTTTATTTATTCTTGAAACAGTGTGTCTGATTCACAAAAACTCGTGTTTTGAGGTCCCTGACCATTTACATAACACAAGATTAAATGCAAACCAAAATCTACGTCTCCCTATTCCCAGAATGACACTTACAAAAAAATCCATTATATATGAAGGCCTCAAGATGTATAACCATTTGGGCACTGAATATAGACAATTGCCATACTCGCGGTTCAGGAAGAGGGTAAAGAGTGTATTGATGGCAAGGTCTTATTACAGCCTGGAGGAGTATTATGGTGATTGTTTGTAGCGAGGTTTGCAGCTATTGATTTTGTCAAGTACTTTCATTTTAATGTTCTGTTTTCATATGTATTTTTGTTTTTAGTTATAATAATTGTTTCTATTCTTACGGCTGTTTGTTATTTTAATTTTTGACATTTTAATATTGTAGTTATTATTTTATTATTGTACTGTTATTACTCTTACGGTTGTTTGTGAATTTAAATTTTGACATTTTATTATTGTGTTTATTGTATTTTGCTTATTGTTGTATTTTTCTGCTTTGTAGACAAGATGTTTTGCTCTTTTTACAATAAAGCATATTTTGATTTGATTTGATATGCAAAGTGCAATACATGTAAAGGTGAGATTTGTCGAGGTGGTCTTGGTAAAAATGCCTCCACAACATCTATGATCAATCAATATTCCGCAGATTATTTCTTTAGTTTTTTTATTATTTATGTTTTTCATATATGTTAAAATTCAAATACATGTTGATTAAATAGGTATTTCAAGCAATATTGGTGTTTTTTTTTTGTTTATAAACAAATCCCTTGATATTTGTGATTTGGTCGAAGCTTCGGCCGAATCACTGCAAAATTGAAACCGATTGGGTATTCGGCCGAATTGGAAAAAAGGCGCATCCCTAATTTCAATATTTTTCTAAAAAACTACTGAAGAGAAAATTATAAAACTTTTAGGATAAAAAGAGAAAAATTAGGAGCTCATTATACTAAAATTTCAATTTTCTCCATTGAAAAACAATATCATGGAAAATTAATGAAAATCAACTTGCAAAATCCAAACTACGCAAAAATACAATCTCTCACATTTTGTTATTTTTATGGAAAATTACTTAAGGAAAAATTATGAAAATTTTAGTTTAAAAAGAAGGAAGTTAGGAGCTCATTATACTAAAATTTCAAATTTTTCCAAAAAAAAACAACACTATGAGAAATTAATAAAAATCAACTTACTATTAACACATTGACGGGTGCGTATGCTCTTGCAGACAGGTGTCTAGGGACGCGTCTGTATTTGCAGACAAAATTTGTAGTCCTTAAAACAATGCGTCTGTGAAAGCAGGCGCCTATGCCATTATACATTACAGGTGTTTCTTTTAAGTGTCCCAGTAAATGAAAAAAAAAATACTGAGAGGTGTCCATACACATCCATTCCATGGGAAATAAATTTGAAATTATAAAGAAAAATTAAAGTGTCCCCTCATGATCCCTTTTTTTTGCCTAGCGCCCGTCAATGTGTTAAGCAAAAATGCAATCCCTTACATTTCAATATTTTTCTAGAAAACTACTGAAGGGAAAATTATAAAACTTACAGGATAAAGAGAAAAAAATTAGGAGCTCATTATACTAACATTTCAATTTTCTCCATTGAAAAACAATATTATGAAAAATTAATGAAAATCAACTTGCAAAATGAAAATGAAGCAAAAACGCAATCTCTTACATTTTGATATTTTTCTGGAAAACTATTCAAGGAAAAATTATGAAACTTTTAGTATAAAAAAAGGAAATTTAGGAGCTCATTATACTAAAATCTCAAATTTTTCCAATAAAAAACAACAACATGAGAAATTAATGAAAACCAACTTACAATTAGGCAAAAATGCAATCTCTTATCTCTTACATTTCAATATTCTTCCAAAAAACTACTGAAGAGAAAATTATAAAACTTTTAGGATATAAAGAGAAAAATTAGGGAGCTTATTATACTAAAATTTCAATTTTCTTCATTGAAAAACCATACTATAGACAATTAATGAAAATAAACTTGCAAAATCTAAATTAAGCAAAAATGCTATCTCTTACATTTCATTATTTTTCTGGAAAACTACTCAAATGAAATTTTTAGGATAAAAAGAGGAAAACTGCGAGTTCATTATACTAAAATTCCAAAATATTCCACTGAAAAACAACAGCATGGGAAATTAATGAAAATTAACTTGTAAAATCCAAACTAAGCAAAAATACATCCTCATACATTTGAACTTTTTTCTGAAAAACTACTGAAGGGAAACTTTCAAGATAGAAAGAGGAAAATTAGGAGTTCATTATAAGTACTAAAATTTAAAATTTTTCAAGTGAATTTTTGTCAACTCTAATTCTTTTCTAAAGTTGAACAAATTTAATAATAATAATCATTCATCATTACACAGAAAAATAAATAAATTTTACCTGCTTTGTCGCTTACGCTGTAAGGTTGACGACGGTTCATGGAAACTTGCTGATGGACAAAATTGACCACATCAGGCCTGATTGGGGCCTTGAAGACAATGGGAAGAGCGATGCTCGACCCTTTGACTTCTTCAGACTTTTCATTGTAGACGCTTACGAGCGGACGAGTTGTCGATAACGACTGAAAACATACACAAAAAAAAAAACTTCAATTAACAACTTACCTTGATTAACATGAAAATATTAATTAGTTTTTAGACAATTTTCAGTGCTTTTGAATAAATTTATAATCACTGGGATTCAGCAACACGGACCAAAAGACAAGATCATCATTATAATTACAATACTAAGTGTGGAAAAGTGACACTTTCTGCACTAGTTAGGAAATATACTACTTACTAATAAAAATGAGGCACATCGTTTTGAAAAAGTGAGGTTATGTTATAATATACCCAACAAGATTATTTTTGTAAAAAACCAAAATTAATATCAAATTACTTAAATTTAGGCCCAATAATCACCCTGGCCTTATAAGAATACCAAAAATACTTAAATAAACCAAAAAAATAAGGCAAAATCCAGACAAAAAAACAAACATGTGGCCTAAATTTCATTACAACATTACCCTTTCAAAAAACCACAAATCCTCATAAAACTCTATCTCTAATTGTTTATTAATGATTTTTCTATAAAATTATCCATTCAAAAAGGCTTTTACTTACCATTTTATTGTTTTAAATACTTAAATTCTAGGGACACACTCTTAGCGGACGGGACGTCCACCATTAAAAAGAAAGTCAATTTGATTAATGACGTTTAGTTTGAAGGACTGCGAGAGGGCGCCACGTGTTTCCGTTAGGAAGCGTTTTCGAACGAAAATTAATGGTTTTCTTGCTCCGAATTTGTTCGCACGATCTGTGTAATTCTTTGTTCGGAATTCAATTAGATTTAGTTCCGGAGTGAACTGGTTTTACCAGTTTTATGTGAACTATTTATTTCAAGTTCAAAATTGGTTCTGAATGTGATCCGCAAGTTCCGGATCGACTTTGATTCTGAGTGTTCTTTGTTCCCAAATTGTTGTACGACAAACCTGAAATAGTTCTAAAGTGTTTCTGAATGTGATTTGCGAACTCGCAGTTCTATTAAGGAAGGAATAACAAGCTGATTCCATGGAATACTGCTTAGAGTAATGTAAATAAGCTAAGTGCAAATGGAACAGAATTCATTGTTTAGTAGCATACTAGAGTAGTTCGAACAGTAACAATTAGAGCAGTGCAAACAGAACAGAGTTAGTGCAGATGGAATAGAATTAGAACAGTTAAACTAGTTCGGATAGTTGAACAGATCAAAAAAAGTCAGTGCACTTAGAACAGTCAGAATGGGATTACTAAAAACCCGAAACTAATTTTCAAATCAGCCTACTAAAATTACACTCGGTTATTCACGCGTCAATTCAACTTTGAATATAAAATGCCATTCTAGGAAGGAATAACAAGTCGCTCCTGTTCCGGATTCATTTGAACTCATGTTTGCAGTTCTGTTAGAATCGGTTGAGGATTGACTCTGCACTAGTTCTACCAGCTCTGTTGAATTTGGGTCACAATTTATTGAGTGGTATTCTGAAATTTCCTTTCCTGCTTCGAAATCGTTTGGAGTAAGTTTAAAATGTATCCATATCCTTACATGTTACATGCTTTTGGAAAAAGATGGGAATACACCCAGTACGCATACTGAATGACAAATGGAAATCGCCATGATTCTAAGAAAAACAAGAACCGTGAATAATTGATACAGGGTTCCGAGTTTTCGTTTCCTGTTCCAGATTCGTTAGTGCTAAATAAAAAACTAAACTGGGTTATAATCAAGTATGCACTCTGAAAAAATCCTGAATGATTTCCAAATTAGATCAGAATTTCGATTTGCAAATAAAACTTTTAGCTTCGTTTACGGTTAGGATTCAGAACTGATTTGGAACATTTAATACGCAGAATCGGTTCCAATTCGACTCCAAACTTACCCAGTTCTATTCGGTTATGTTCACATTTAGGGTGGGTTCCCTTGTCTTCCGAGTTCTTATAGTTCATCGTTCTGACGTCACAAGTTGGAATTTCTGATTTACCACGTCACAACTCGGAATTTCTAATTTAGTACGTCATAATTCGCAAATGCTCATTTATTGCTACTTGCTAGTTTGGTGAAAATTGAAAATATAGTAGTTATAGGTATTTATTATTTTCTGTCTGACAATAGTATGTAATATTATTTGCAATATAGATTATTTTTCCCACGCTAGGACAAAATGATTTGAACAGGGCGTGTTTGGGTTGACGATCCGCGGAACGAGCAAAGCGATTACGGAGTAACGTGACGTCACAGAGAGTACACAGGTCAAGCCAAATAAACTCTTGCAAAGACACAAAACTGCTGGGTTGAGCGATCAGTTGGAGCAGCTAATTTATTGTTTATTTTTTCAGTATAAGTATGTCCACCAGATTTTTCTAGTCGATATTTTATTTTTCAAACAGCCTCATTTTCTTTTGTGTTCTGCTAAAATTGCTAAGACTAAAACTAACCAGCTAACAAATAAATAAATCTTAGGTTAGGTTGTTTGCGGCCTGTGCAGTGCAGTGTCCACGTACGCTCCAGCTGCCCGCTCTCACTTACAGATTAATCTCAGACAAAAAATATTTAAATATAACTATTATATTTTCAATTTTCACCAAACTAGCAATAAATGAGCATTTCCGAGTTATGACGTAGTAAATTAGAAATTCCGAGTTATGACGTAGTGAATCAGAAATTCCGAGTTGTGACGTAGTAAATCAGAAATTCCGAGTTGTGACGTCAGAACTATGAACTAAGAACTCGGAAGACAGATTGCACGACCGGGCTTCCGTAATTCTGCGATTGGAAAACAAACTTATTCGAAGAATAATGAGATTCGAAATTAGTTCTTAATAATTAAGTAAACAATCCTGAACTAGTTTAAAATTGATTCTGAATATGATCCACAAGCAAACTAATAACTGATCCGAAATTATTCGCATTCGTTGTTGAAATGTGCGGTTTCACATAAATCAGTTCCAGATCAGTTCTGAACTCGTTCTAGGGCTTTAACAAGAATAAGTTTATGCTAACTAAATTCAGATTAATCCAGTTCGGTCGCAGTCCGTCTTCCATCTTTTTTCCTTTCGATAAGAAGAACAGAGATGAGAAACAATACTGCAACTCCAAGCGTCTACTCGAACTTCACCAGTATGATTCAGAACTGTTTCGGAAATAGAACTTATTTATCACCAGTCAGAGCGTTTTTGATTGAAGCAAAACGCCAATTACCAGTTTTCTGACTGTTTTCAACCAATGAAATTCGCTCCTGGATCCTTATTCTTGAAACAGAGGAGCAGCGATCCCAGGATGAGAACGAGTGTTTCGTTTTTGTAGCTTATATTATCAGTTGCATATCATTGGGAGAGACGGAACACCCGTTCTCCTGTGAACGCGGCTCTCCTGTTTCAAGAATAAGGACCCTGATATGTTTATAATTTCTGGAATAACAGACCTTGACTCCGATTCTAAGTTTTCCTTGTTCCGAGATCGTTCAGAGTAAAATAAAATCCTGAATTGGTTAATAAGTAGGTATGCACTTTACATAGGAGTCACGAACAAAGCTTGTAGTTTCATTTACAGTATGATTATGATTCAGAAGTGTTCGAAACTAATGCAAAAATGGATGGGTTCAGATTGCTCACTCTGGGGCAAGTTCAGGAATGACACACCCAGTGTGAGTGTGACACCGGTGCGACGCCCTAGCTGTTCAAAAATGCTAGACGGTGCTATGGGCCCAATGGCCAATTGTCAATCCAAGCACACCCATAAAATCACACTCGCACCCTGTCCGTTGTTTCTGAACTCGGCCCTGTGTATTCTATAAGCGCTTACGGTTTTGCCTCAAAATCAGGGATGCTATTTCTAGTACAATTGTACTAGATCTAGCACAATCACGTTTCACCAAGTATGCTAGTACCTCTCTCATAGTCGAGTGTCGCTCTTCACTCTGCACCGTACCCGAGTTCTGCGCTCCACTCTCTACTTGTGGGTTGGGTTTCACGTTCCAGGGCTGGGATCACGACATGTAGAATTCTATTAGAATACTACTTTCATGACGTCAGGTTTCCTAGCAACCGTCATCATCGCCTGTACTGTACGCAAAAAATAGGTCGCAGGTGACGTCATCAAAGTAGAACTCTACTGGTCGTCATCCCAGCCCAGGGGTGCGATTTTCGAAACCACTCGAGTACATTTCGTACACGAATTTCGAATGCTTCCCATTTAATTTACATTGTTGTCAGTCAATTTTCGTGTACGAAATGTACTCGAATGGTTTCGAAAATCGCACCCCTGGGCTGAGATCACGATAGGTAAAATCTTAATAGAATTCTACTTTCATGACGTCAGGTTGCCTAGCAATCGTCATCATCGCCTGTACTGTACGCGAAAAATAGGTCGCGGGTGACGTCATGATAGTAGAATTCTACTTTTCGTGATCCCAGCCCTGGTCCCACTACGGTGCGGCTAAAGCCAAAATATGAGGCAATTTTTGGCGAGGATATTCAAGCATAATCTGATTATGCTGGGTTATGTGATGTGTCAATTGTGTCATACTTTCCTAACTCACTCTCCATCAAATTCTGGGCCTGTGAGTGTCGTCACTATCAGCAGAAAATAGCGATGACGTCACCCGCAGACCTCGATCGAATACTTGCGATTCAGGCTATAGTAGGGAGTTAATTTTTTTGTCGATTTCAAATGTAGAAAAGGTGATTTTCGATCTGTTCTCACAGAACAAATTAAGTATTCTTGATCCTCGAGTATCTCAGAATTTGATGGGGGAAGGGAGGGGTGTTTTTTTCTGTGACTTGACGTGTCTCATGTATCGGTGGTTATTCGGTTATTCAGCAGATCATGGTAATCGGTAGTCGATTTATAATATATAGTAAATATGTAGAAATTAATTTATTTCTATCATTCAGGTGATTTAGGACCGGTTTCCTAATAGCGAGTCACCTCTTTAAGGATAACTCTAGGTAAACGTTGTAACTGGACACGTTAAAACCAACCCGCAGCTGACTGAGGTGACTCGCTATTAGTTGTATTCCTTTCAAGAGCTTGAAACACTCGAGCTACTCGCTTCGGTGCTTAGTCGCCCCCGATTTGCAGGGAACATATGCGTGGTGCAACAAACACTTTTCGAAAGGAATAAGCGCGTGAAGCCCCGGAGCTGTTCCGGAGCTCCTCCTAGGTGTGAAAGGAATACAACTATTGAGGAACCGACCCTAAAACAAGTGATATTTACCCGCATTTAGCCGAGTCTACATTTGTATTCAAATTTCAAAATTTGAAGCGCTTTCAGCTAGTACATAATGTCGCTAATCTAGACAATTATTCCCTTCTTCCTGATACAATTTTTTTAGTGCTGATAGCATCCCTGCGATCCGGAACGGCTTCACATATTTGATTTAAAACGGAGCGTTGCTCTCGGCGAGATTCACGTGTTCGATTTGAGCAATAGAACGCTCTCAAATCCAGCCCTGTAGTCCAATTCTCGAGTAGGGGGTAAAGCTTTTCGATAGAACGAATGTTTTGTTCTTGTCAACGTAATAGAAAAGTAAACGAGAATAATAAAGACGAAAACGTTGTTCTTTCGGGGAGCTCCTCTCCCTAGCTTGAGAATCGGCCCCCAGAGCGCTCTTTCTTTCTCTATCAAATTCGATGGATCAAAGAGTCTGATCAAAACAATAGAATATTATACGTTCGGCTATTGATTTCAAATGGTGTGCCTTTGTTTGGATTATAATCGCCTTCGGAGCACTCCCGCAAAGATCTGTGACGTCACCGCCTAGACGAGGAGTGCTCTCAATTCAAACTGACGAATATTCATTAGCCGTTCTCTGTTCTCGGTTCCGGATCTCTTCTGAACTAGTTCTAAGGATTCAACAAGTACCATAAGTTCTATTAGTTCAAAACATAGGCAGTATAATATGCCGATAAATTTACATTAATTGTTGAGCGATTGAAGGTTCTGACTTTTAGGTTTTTGTTCCAAAATCATTCGGGGCACAATAAAATCCTGAATTGGTTCCCTAATTATCTTTGGAGTCACGAACAAAGCTCATAGATTCGTTTACAGTATGATTTCGAACTGTTAAGTCTAGTACTCATAACTGCGAAATTCGCATTTTTTTGACATTGCGTTGACAATTTGACGTTTTATGCGTGTATCAAACGTCAAATTGTCAACACAATGTCAAAAAAATGCGAATTTCGCAGTTATGAGTACTAGGCTTTAACTGTTCCAAACTAATTCAAAAATGGATGGATTCGGATTGCTCACTCCGGTACCATTCTCCGTACTCCGTACATTCTAACAGCGCTTTCGAGTTTTGCCTCAAAACTGCTCCCGATTGATCCAAAACCGATCCGAAATGGATTCACATGTTCGTATGCACTCTAGGACAATCCGGATTCTAGAGAATATTCGATTTTTTAATTTCAGTTTTTTGTAGTTGAACTAGAATCGGTTCCGAATCGATCGAAATACTACTATGAATTCGCCCACGCCGCGCGTTCGCCCACAAATCTGGAAAACTATAGAAATCCGAGCTTCAAGAAAAACAAATATACCATGTAGGGTAAGCAAGAATAGCTCGAAAAAATGCTAGTTCCTGTTCCGGAATCGTTCGGATTAGTTTCTAATTAGTTCAGCATCGATTTAAAATGTGATCCGCGGTCAAACCTAGAGTAGGTTTGAATAATCCTGTTACAATAATTCATGTTCGGGTCATAAAGCGAATAGAGTAAAAAAAACGTTAAATACCCGAACGGTCCGGAACTTTTGGAGTAAAAAAAAATTCACACATTTACACCATCGAATATGGCAACTACTCTATTTACTCTAAAAAACTTCTTCTCCAATTTGGAATTATAAAAGTAAGCTCCGCTTGCCCAATTCCGTAAATAGAGCCACTCTATTTAAGCCATAATAGTCGGAGTGCTTACGGAGTACTTAGAGCGTACGGAGTAAACAAACCGAACCAAGCCTAGTTTTTGAACAATATACTCGATTCAAAAAAGTGTCGATTGAAAACCCCTAATGAAGTCTCAACTATCAAAAATGACATCACTTCCTGTCAAAACTAGCTAAAAAAAAATTAAAAATCCAAATAGGAAAACAACAATTGAACTATTTTTGACACGTTGATCGGAATAGCGGATTTCGGTGGGCCCCCAAAAATCGTGTTTTTTTTTCTTTTAAGGTTAGGCCGTAAATCGAAAAAAAATGGGCCAGAAATTCCAGTACGACGAGAGCGGGGGCACGTTTTTCTACTTCCTTTTGTCGTTTTTAGCTTTAATTTTGATACCGGTTACCATATTCTACTGGCCTAGGAAAAAGAAACGCGGTAAGTTTACTTTATTGTATATAAATATAAGGAAAAAAGAGTTTCAAGCTGATTACATTAGACAAATAAGTTCTGGTTGTGTGTTTTTCAATATTTGAAAACAGTCCACTTGAAGTTGAATAATTGAGGTTTTGAAGCTTTGCAAAGAGGGGCAAATTATTAATTCCAATATTAGGTCTGTTTCTGCAGAAATTACACACCAGTCCGAGCAAATTTCAGAAAGAAAAATTAGTTTCAACCAATGAAATTCATCCTGACTGGTTTGTGATTTCAACAGAAACAGACCTGATAATATAGGCGTATTGCCATGATTGCTTATTGCTTTTCTTATTTTTTGAATTGTAAATGCACATTTTAAGCCTCAAATCTGCCACATAGATTTTTTACTGTTATTCTGTCTAGTGGTTTATTTTTAAAACTACTCAAGCTTGCAAAGCTATTTTTAAGATATTTATGAACTTAATGGTATTTTACTATTTGAACTTTTATAAAAATTAGTATTTTTAATTTTATAATAAAGTTAACAATTTTCTACTAGAATAAAAACCACCTTTAAAGGAAGATTTCTTTAATTTTCAACGTTCGTCATCGTGTCAAGAATCGTAACCTAAAAGTTTAGGGCAATTTGACGCAAGGATAATACACTCTTCTAAAGATTGCTTATCGGCCTTCTTTTTGGTAATAGCCGCCATATTGGTGTGTCACCATTTCCGACATCATTAACAAGTCGTCAACTGTTTGCACTAGAGGTCGTAGTTTAGAATTTAAATTTATGATGAAAAGTAGGAGGAAGATGAAAACAAGATTTAAAACAGAATTGTTTTAAAATGGTAATTAATGTAGATCAGTGAGTAAAACCAAGTATGTATAAAGCAGAAACCTGCGAAATCATAACCTGTGGTGCAAACAGCCTATGTCGAGCCGAGAAAGGACCTGCTGCCTACATCCAGGGTTGCCAGATTTCAATTTTGAAAAAGCGGGACAGCGAATAGAAAAAAATGTCGCCAAAAAAAGAAAACAATATAGGTACATTCCCCCCCCCCCCCCCATGGGGAAAAAAAAATTATAATGGCTTGGTTCCAACACGTCAAGAAACCATAAAATGTACCGTCACGATTTTGAGCAAAGTCAACAATGTGTGCGTAAAATTCGAAATTCGTATACAGAATGGTTTCGTTCTTGGGATGGTTTTTGACATCTGGAACAAACCTAATATGTCCTTGCCCTTGGAACTTTTTGAATACGAGGTCTGTTCCAACACGCCAAAAGCCGTCCCATGAATGGTTTGGTATACGAATTTCGGATTCTACGAACAAATTTCAGGGTTTGCGCAGAATCGTGACGGTACCCTGCTGTGTTGGATCAAATCCTAACTCACAAATGACATCCCCCGCTAACATTACTAGAAAGAGAAGGTTTAATATAATGATATCATTGTCTAGAAAGAAAAAGAACATCGTTTTATTGTCGGCACTTGTCGTTGTCTTCCGAACTGAAATATTTGAAAGTTTGCGCAAACGACTGAGCGACAAAAACCCACAATTTCTCTACAGCCGTTCGGCGTTCATCAAGGGAAATACATCCTAAAAGGGTGCTGTCGGCCGGAAATCGGGATATATTAGCTAACATTTCAAAAAAGCGGGACATTTGGCATTCAATTTTTTAAGCGGGACATTTCGGAAATATTTCTAAAAATCGGGACTGTCCCGCCTAAATCGGGACGTCTGGCAACCCTGCCTACATCACAATTGATGATTTGGTGTGTTGGGAGGTTCCAGACTTGTTCCACACACAGGCTTTATGAGGATAGGCTATCCTGTAGTAGTAGTGTTTATCATCCTTGACTTCAAGTTTTGTGTTTTTGATGCACCCATAAAATGATAAAATTGTAGGTGCTTGCGAGGACAGGAAATTCTAATGCATTGAAACGCCTATAAACAGTTCGGGGCGCTCTAGAGCAGCTCAGGAGCAGGGATTCGGACCGAAATGCAATAGACCTATCTATTTTTACCTGTTATGCGCGCGCAACACGAGGCAATTCAATCTATCTGTCAAAAAGGAAAATTCAATGTGGCGTGGCGGCCAAGCAAGTTTGTTTTGGATATGTTTTTATGTGTATTTTAAATTATTTTGCATACAGTTTTGCTTAAAATTTTGATTTTCATTATTTAATAAAATATTTGTTGACTAGGTAACTAAACTATTAATTCCGGCAGAAAATAGATATTTTTTTGTGTTTTTTGGCCCATGTGTGGCCGCCACGCCATCTTGAATGTCACGTGGTTTGAATTGCCTAATTGGCTAGCCAATACAGGTGTGAGGTGATCGTTTTGCACGCTGGACATCTCTGTCCTTGTTCATTGCACGTGGTCTGACAAGAATAAATCTAAAGTTGATATTCAACTTGGCAAATGTCATTCAAAAGTTGTTTGACATTTTCATTGACAAATACGTTGCACAACACGCAGTTTTTCTTCTTCCTTTTTTATCCCGTGCAAATAAGAAGGACGGATTTCTATACGTAAGTCTAACATAATTTGGTACATTTTGCCTCGTCTTGCGCAATGAACGTTCTGTGTCTTTTTTTATTTAATGAAGTTTTCGTATTATTACCTCTTTGTCTGGTAAAATAGATAGGTCTATCTCGGTTTCGTTCCACAGTGTTAAGCCCGAGTCTCATGCATCCGTTTGTCGACGTTTTATGTCCTAAAAACCTTCTATTTTGACATATTTTCATACGATTATGACAGAATAGAAAGTTTTTCAGACATAAAACGTCGGAAAACGGATACATGAGACTCCGGCTTTATGACAAATGTCGGTTCCGTTACGATTCGGGTTCTAAGAGAAATATTTCGATTCGGTTCGGACCAATAATTTCGGTTTTAACGGTTCATACCGGTATATATTTTCACAAATGAATAGCAGAATCTATTGGAAGCGTTAGTGCGCACTGAGTGTAGGTAGGTATTTGTGTTTTTTTCTACCAGCTTATATATGAAAGAGATAAAAATACATTTTTTCTGCACTGGTTCTACCACTACCAATAGAATTTGCTATTACTTAATATCTAATAGAAAACTGTATGTTTCTGTATTTTGTGGTTTATTTTTTATTGGATTTCTCTGCCTATTTGCAATGACTTTAATAATAATACATATTATTAATAATTATAAATTTTTGTGTTTTCGATCAATTAATTACTAAAAATTTCAATCCCTTACCAGGCCAAAGTACCAGTGATGACGTAGGCAGCGTGTCGTTTCTCGCCTTTTGATGAGGGTGCTTGCACCACAGGTTATGATAGCGCTGATTTTTGCTTTATGCATATTTGAGGCATTTTTCCGCGGGGCGAATGGTTCGAACTATGGTTTATTTCAATTTGTAGATGACGTCATCACTTGTGAACGCGAGAAAATGGAAGGTTTGAACCACAGTCTTATGTCAACGGAGAACTACCCATGAGTCCGGTTCGAACTTTTGGGTTCAACGCAAGAATATATAGGTTCGAACCTAATTGAACCGAATCGAACCACTTCCACCGCGAGAAAACAGCTTTAGTTTCAGTACATTTTCATATTCTTAGTACAAGTATAAGCGGAGACCGCGAGATGACGCATCCTATTATACAGTGTGTTTACCTAAGTTCGCAACATATGGAAAACCTTTTTATGTCACTCTGCCCAACTAAAAATCTGAAACCTCAGTGATTTAATAGATATTTACGATACAAGTGAGTTAACAGCATCATTAAGATACGCGTGTGGAATGAGGGTTAACTCACGTGTATTGTACAATATTTTATCTACGCCATACGCTCTTAACTTTAAAAACACAAAAAAAATTAATTTCAATAATAATTATTGTATTACCTATTCTAAAAACCAGCTATCTGAATCACCTCAATACCTTATGTTCGAATAACAATATAAACTTGACCAAATTACCATGAAAACACTACACCATGCATGGTTTCATATCAATTTGATAGTAAATAATATTGATGTCACTATAGTTTCAAAAATCTAAGAAAGAGCGCGGTAATGAAAATGTGTGAGTTAAGAAGCTCTTAACTCACTCAAAATGCGTGAGTTAAAAGCTTCTTAACTCACTGGGTGCGGTAATGAAAATGCGTGAGTTAAGAAGCTCTTAACTCACTCTCGTGCTTAACTCACTGGCGTAGATAATAGTTATTTATACACCAAGTGAGTTAAATGAATGTTTATTCATGAGAAGAAAGTTTAACCCACGAGCCCTAGCGAGTGGGTTAATTGTCTTCGAAAGCGCTAATTATTGAAATTGGTGGTTGCTAAGGTATAACTAGTTGTTTGTTTGTATTTGTAGCAGATTTTTATACTGGCAGAGTGACTTAAAAGACCGAGAGTGAGTTAAAAATATTTTAAGTCACTCAGGTGATAAACGTCTACTTACCTTTGTCATTATGCGTTCAATAATGTCATTTTTAAACGTCAAAATGGGATAAATTATATTTTCGATTCAGAAACTTGTATTTTTAAAAAACATTTATTTTATTAATTAAAATACAATAGTGACAAACGAAAAATATGTGGATCAAATTGCTACAGGGAGTGCCTGAAAACAAATGAACGCTCCATAAGGGAATGCGCAGGCTTAAATAAGAAATAATTGCTAATCCAAACATTTACGTAGGCGGCATGGTGGTACTGTAGCAAAACGCCCCAAGTACTCTATGTAATTAGTTAGATGGTAAATGGCGAGCGGTATACTGATGGTGCTTATTTACTTGGAGCTGCTACCTGAAATCTGTGGAAGGGTCTATTTGCAAGAGAGAGAAACAAATTATTGAGGTGTACTAAATTATATTTTATTATACATAAAACCCAAAAATTTTTAATCAGCCAAATATCTTCCAATTCTGACAGCCTCATTTATTTCTATAAAATCAATTACTTCACATCCGTTCTAAAATTTTTATTATTACGGACCACTGAAATATCCCTACTAATAAAGAAATGCCTTATTTCTACTATTCCTAATAACTTATAAGTTAACTCATTTCAACACTTCCGATTCATTCCTAATAAACTACCTTCTACCTATTTATATAAATTCTTTAAAATTACTAAGTCCCTTAGTAACAGCTTATGAAAAACCCAAAATAATTACCTATTTATTTATTAATATAGGTATTACTAACTTATTCTTATAAAACCTTACAATAAATTCCTACATGAAATTTAAAAACTTTAACTCAAAATTCATTTCATGAACAATAATTTCCTTTAACAACTTTCCAATATTTTAGGACAATTCTATTTCATAAACATCAAGTTCCTTTTCAACACATCCCATTTCCTTTTTAACTGAACAAATTACTATTATAAGATTCCTTTAACAACTTTCCAAGCTTTTTAAGACAATAATTCTATTTCATGAACATCAAGTTTTTTTTTCAAAATTTCCCATTGTAATTAATAGTTTATCAGAACAAATTCTATTTTCGGATTCCTATGCCTAGCTAATAAACCCAACTGTTTAAAATTCATAATCCCTACTCAAAATAGTCAAAATTGTATATTGTTAAGGGCATTATAAATTCCCTTCATATTTTTGGTGCAAAATTAAATTAAAATGTCATTATATCTGAAGGCAATTAAAGTTATGCGATAATGTTCCATTTTCAAAACACTCGAGTTATTGATATTTATGCAATAAAGTTCCACAGTTAATTATAAAGTCAAAAGTTTTTCTAGTAAAAATCACTCAAGTATTTAGGCATTAAAAGTCATTGTTAATTCACTTCTTATCATTCAGAATCATTGATAAAAGTCAGAAAATTATTAAACATTAAAGTAGGTACTTACATTTTACTTTGCACACGTAAAATTACTTAATTAATTACTCAAAATTTTTAGCTAGCACGCACATAAATGTTGACGAATTTAATTATTGTTCATTCTTTCAAAATTTTTCCGCTACTTTTTCAAAGACTGTTACCGAGGCAATACAAGAAACTTTCCGGACTTACTAAAGTGTCTGTAGATTTTAACTCAAACTGAACAGGACTGCGAACTCATCTCTCAACTAACAACTGCCTTCCTCTTCTAAAACCGCGGTATTTATATTAAATCGATCCCCCCAATTTTCTCTGTCCATGACAATTAAGATAATGCAATTCCCTTGAGATTTTTATCATTTTTAGTCTAAAAAAATCGAATAATTATGTCGCAATATCCTGATTTATCGAGGTCAAAACATTATTGGTTCAAGAATGCCATAAATCATTCGATTTAATTAGGTACGCGATGGCCTTTGTTTTGTTTGTTTCATTTTAATTTATCGATACTAATTTAGAAATGGACGCTTCATAGACGTCTTATTACAGGGTATTTTTTTCTAAATGGGTTATATTGGGTTTTACATGGTAACTTTTGAACCTGTTGGTTCATGACGTCATAACGACCAACCTTTGTTGCTTGGGATGTTTGTTGGAATAGGAGAAAAAAGACCTGCTGAAAAACATTCTCCAAGCATATTCAATTTTTGAATGGATTTGGATCAGATGACTTTTTTACAGATCTGTTTTCGTATTAAAATTGTATTCGCTAACATTCGATGTTCTCTATCTTAGGCCCGATTTATTCATCTTGAAATAAACTTACTGGTAACTATCTGAGCCGCATTCTTTCGGACCGGATCAGTTGATCAAAACGCGTTATGTTCCAGTAATTTCGTTTTTTCGCATTTTGATATTTGACAGTTAGCGAAACATGATCCGAGAAATTTTGAATAAATTGAACTTTTTTTTTTTGTGATTTGTTTGTTCCGATCACGAAAATCTGGATAGCGTTCTTTCGGACCTTAAAATTGAAACATGTTCCAATTGAACAAACAGATCAGGATCTCATTATTATGATTCAAATATACTGCGAAAGAATGCCGCTGTGCAAGATAAATTTACAGATCTGTAATCCTATTGGTCACTGGATAATTGGTTGACCAATGGGATTACATATTGCGTTTTTATCCGTCAGATTGCATTACCTGATAATTTATTAGAAAGTGAATAAATTGGCTCTTATATGTATTAAATTTATAAATTCCTAAAAAGTATTTTTTGATTTTTCATAAATTCCCAATAATTTGTCCAATTTCAGATCCGGAAGAAGAGAAAAGACTCTGCCACTGTCCGCCGTGCCTCGTCAAACGTGAACACCAAAAAAACGCCGAACCATGGAGAGGCACGAAAAACGCCATAACAAAAATAGTGATAATTTTCGGCTGGATAATGCTGGTCCTTTTGGCCTACAAAGTATCCCAGTTCGACTACGAAATGGCCAACTTCGATCCGTACGAAATCTTAAAAATTTCTCCCGGAGCCGGCCAGGCCGAAATCAAAAAAGCCTACAGAAAATTATCGTTGATTTTGCATCCAGATAAAGATACTGGTAATGAAAAGGAGTTTATGAAACTTTCAAAAGCTTATCAGGCTTTGACTGATGATGAAGCAAGGAAAAATTGGGAAAAGTATGGGAATCCAGATGGGCCTGGAGCAATGAGTTTCGGGATTGCTTTGCCTTCTTGGATTGTAGAAAAGGAGAACAGCGTTTGGGTTTTGGGGCTTTACGCTTTGGTTTTTATGGTTGCTCTTCCTATAGTTGTAAGTCAACAGTTTACTGACAAACTTGAAAAAAAAATTCAATCAATTCTGTTTAATTAATTCCAGGTTGGTACTTGGTGGTACCGTAGCATAAAGTTTACCGGCGATCAAGTACTGCTAGACACAACGCAAATTTACTATTATTTCTTCCATAAAACTCCCAATATGGCCCTGAAGCGAGTCATTATGATTTTGGCCGCCAGTTTGGAGTTTGACAAAAAGCACAATTCGGAAATCGAAGAGAGACAATCGGACAACGACGAAGTACCACAGGTAATTTTTTTTTTTTTTTTTTTGGGATTTTCTTCTACAAATTTTTAGTTTAAAGTTAAAGTGAAAGTCAAAAAATCATGTCATTTTTGGAAGTTTGATTTTTTTTTTTCAAAAATACACCTTCTTTTCCAGCTAATCAAAAAACTGCCAAACCTCAATGAGAAAAACAAAGAACGCCCCCTATGTCATCTGTACAGTATTAAAGCGCGCGCCATAATTCACGCCCACCTGAGCCGAATCCCTCTAAACCCCGACACTTTAGAAAAGGACCGTCGCTACATAATCGGCAAGTGTCCTTATCTGATCCAAGAACAAGTCAATTGCGTCAACCAGCTAATCCTATTGGCTTACGCACGCCGAATCAAAACCCTCCCGAACATCGAAACAATTGAGAATTGCATGAAACTTTGTCCTATGATTGTGCAAGGCTTGTGGGAATTTAAATCGCCCTTGTTGCAATTGCCTTACGTCAACGATGACAATTTGAAGTATTTTATGTCAAAGAAACGTCAAATTAAAACGTTGCAGCAATATGCTCAACTAAAAAGCGAAGACAGGAGAGCCTTATTGCGCAGCCTCAGTGATGATGAATACGAAAACGTCATGAAAGTCCTAGGCAAAATGCCTCATTTAGACTTTCAAATAACTGTTGAAGTAATGGACGATGAAAATCCTACTGAAGTGACAGCGGGTGCTATTGTAACTGTCACTGTCAGCTTGGAACGTAAAGATATGGCAACATTGTTTGATGATAATGAGGTGCAACAAGATTTTGAAGAAGTTGTAGAGCATCAGGAAGAGGGCGCTGCTGATGGCGATCAGCTAGAAATTATTAAAAGGCCTGCTTGGTTGAAGCAAAAACAGAAACGAGGTGGCGGTAAAAAATCTAAAAAAGTCACCACCAATAATAGTAAACCCCCACCAGTAAAACCAGCAGCTATTATTGCAAAAAAAGTTGAAGATTCTCCTAGTTCAATCAAAGCAAAACCAAAACCAGAAGACGATAGTGCAGACGATTCTGGCCCAGAAGAATCTTCAGACACAAACCAAGAAAAATCGTCGGGCGATGAAAGTACCGCTCAAAAATCCATTCCGGAGGACGACGATCAAGAGTGGGAACGGTTCCGGAAGATCCACGAGCGGGAAAAGTCGCTCGAGGGTAAAATGAAATCGTCGCATCCGGTGCACTGTCCGCACTTTTCGCACGACAAGCAAGAGTACTGGTGGACGTATATTTGCGACCGGAAGTCAAGGACGTTGTTGACGGCTCCCTATCACGTTACTGGATTGGTCGAACACGAGACTGTGCATTTAAAGGTAAAAATTTTTGTATTTATTAGTTGATTTTTTTGGGACACCCTTATATACGGGTGGGGATTTTAACAACTGGAATTAATTCGCTAAAGCCTTCAGATAAAATAGGTGGACAAAACACAAAAACATGTTGATTAAGATTTTTTGCATCAGAGTTTTTCATAGTAATTTTTTTATACAGGGTGTTACAAGAACAGCTGTATGGTTATCTTAATCGACATGTTTTTGCATTTTGTGCACATATTTTATCTGTAGGCTCTAGCAAATTAGTTCCAGTTAAAGTTCCCACCTTGTACATATATGGCAACATTGTTCATGTTGGTATGTCATACTTGTCAAAACTTCAAATGTTAGTCGCAAATAGAGGTGGCAACCTTTTTTTTTTCGGCCAATCAAAAACCAGAGAAACTTTTCTCACCTAACAGTCATAACACGTGTTTATTGTGTTTTAAAATTAAGTCGTCGCAGTGTAGTGTTGCCAATTTTATTTAGGACAGATCATTAATAGATTTAATTTGAGTTTGATATTAGGACATAATCAGGGTTAGTAAAAAGTACTACAACACTTAAATATCTTCAAAACTGCTTAAGCCGCGTTGACACAATTCGGATTCTGACAGTTTTTGGATATGCAGAATTCAACAGTGCTATTGGCAATGTTGCCAGATTTCCCAGTTTTGCGCTACACGTAGTCTTTTTGTTATCTTAAATAGAATGCCCCAGTTATTTTTATTGCAATGAATTGGGCGTACCAAATTTGATAAGACTACAAATTTCCAGAATTATATCTCTACTAGTTGTTGAAATATGACAACACCGTATTTTCGGTGAAAAGTATCGCAGCACTTGAATATCTTTAAACGCCGCTTGAGCATGTTCACGAAATTTGGTATCTAGAAGTTTTTGGGCAAGCGAAATTCAACCGTGATATCGGCATTGTTGTCAGATTTCCCAGTTTTGCACTACACATTGTTATCTTGGATAGAATGCCCCATTTATTTTTATAGCAATAAATTGGACCTGTCAAATTTGATAGGATTCCAAATTTTCAGAATTCTTTCTCCACACATTACTTGTTCATGAGGTATTCATATTTCCGGGCGTTTCCGATAAGTTTGCGGCTCCTCCTGAAATAGGTAGGAAGGTAGAGGTAACTATCCCAGAATGATTCTCACTATAGTAGTATCTAACAGTAAAAGAAGCATATTGAAAATTTGGAATCTGATTAAAATTTGGACCAATTCATTGCAATAAAAATAAATGGGGCATTTTATTGATGATAACATAAAGACTACCTGTAGGGCGAAACTGGGAAACTTGGCAACAATGACAGCGATACCGTGCACTGAAAATGCGGTGTTGGCATATTTCAGCAAGTAGTAAGAGATAGAATTCTGAAAATTTGGAATCTTATTAAATTTGGCACGTCCAATTTATTGCAATAAAAGTAAATGAAGCATTCTATTCAAGACAATAAGAAGACTACGTTTAGTGCAAAACTGGGAAGTCTGGCAACAATGCCGATATCACGGTTGAATTTCGCTTGCCCAAAAACCCCCAGATACCAAATTTCGTGAACGTGTTTAAGCGGCGTTCGAAGATATTCAAGCGTTGCTATACTTTTCACCGAAAATACGGTGTTGTCATATTTCAGCAACTAGCAGCGATAAAATTCTAAAAGTTTGGAATCTTATCAAATTTGGCACTCCCAATTTATTGCAATAAAAATAAATGAGACATTCTATTTAAGATAACAAAAAGACTACGTGTAGCGCAAAACTGGGAAATCTGGCAACATTGCCAATTTCACTGTTGAATTCTGCATATCCAAAAACTGTCAGAATCCGAATTGTGTCAACGCGGCTTAAGCAGTTTTGAGGTGATTTCAGTGTTGCAGTACTTTTTACTAACCCTGTATAGCCCAACATTTGAATGATTTAAATATTCAGGTTTCAAATCCCATCAAAATAGGCTCTGGTTTTATTTTTATTGGGAGCAGTTGGTACTGCCATCAGTATTATGGCCAGGATTTCCAATTTAAAATTTTTCTTAACAAAATTTAGCTAGAGAAGGGTTTATCGATATTGGATATTCATAAGTATTGATACGATATATTTTTTTTAAGTATCTGATTTTTTTTTCTATTCCCGGCTCTTGAATTTTCGTTTTCTTCTAAATTTATCCAAATAGAGAAAAAATTGAGAGCTTAGATCAGAAACGAAATACTTTGTGTACAGGGTGATCTATTAGAAATGTCACGCCCTCCTAATTTTTCAATTTGACGTTTTTGACAAAAGTGTCAAATAGAAAAGTTTGAAGTAATTGTCAAAAGTTTTTAACTAAGTCAGTTTTAAGCATACAGGAGGGTGCGTATCCCCTTCGAATTTTGATTTCAAAATATTCAAATCTTAATTGCTCAGTCGCCGTTGAGCAAATTGCATTGAAATTTTCAGTATTTGTAGCTCTTATCAAACTCTAAAAGACTATAATTTACAATATTTCCAGGTTCATATTTTTTGGGCAAATTAAGTTTGAAGCTTATGGCAAAATTTGAACTAAAAATCAACTTTGAGGCTCAATTACTTAAAAACTATTTAAGCTATTAAACTTTATTTTGCACGGATTTATAGAGAATCTGAAAATTTAACAAAGATATATATATATAAAAGACATAATATATCAAGACATATCAAGATTTTGAAAACTTTTTAGTGCCAAAAATAAGATTTCCTTTTTATTTTTGTTTTTGTTTAAAATGGTCATTTGAAAATGATGTCAGGGTTGTTTGCCACTAACTTTGACCCGCTCTTTCGATTGGTAAAGTCAAAATTGAGCAAAACTGGAATATAAAAAATCCAGTTTTTCATGAGGGTGGCACCCTTTTTGAATTCTGATTTTAAAATATTATAGTATAACATACCCGGATTCGCTTAGTAAGATTGAACGATGAGAATTTTTATTACCCTTTAAACAAAAAATTTTCTGAAAAATGCAATGAAAAACAAATAGGACCTACGTTGTGGAAACTTACTCAATTTTACTTACTGGACATGCGCCCGACAGCAAATATTTGGGAAATTTAAGGGAATAAGCTGTAATATGTAAAAGAAACGAGAAATTTGTGAAACGTGTACTTTATTATTAAAGCAAATCGTACCGTTCTCAACCTGAAATTTTCGAGTGGAAAGAGAACGGCAGAGAAACCCTCGATCTAACATTCCTCAAAAATCGAAAGATACTGTGTCATTTTAAATAATAATTGTGAGTCAATAATTCAATAATTTAAAAGTTTAAATTAGGTACCATGGTTGTTCTTGTGTTAACACTAGATTCAATCAACACTACCTATATTCAATACTGAAGAGTTTTTTTGTTAGTTAGCCAGTTTCGCAGCGGATACTGAGGTCCCATACGGGAAGCTACTCAGCTATAGTTGTTTTTGAGCCAATATTTCTAAATTGATTATTTCAATTTATTAGGATATTCTCTCGTCAGGGTAGGAAATAGTTATTTATACACCAAGTGAGTTAAATGAATGTTTATTCATGAGAAGAAAGTTTAACCCACGAGCCCTAGCGAGTGGGTTAATTTTCTTCGAATGAATAAACATTTTAACTCACGTGATTTATACAAAATTTAATCCCATTTTGATAAACATTTAAAAAATAAGGTACTTAATAGGAATCAAATTATAAAAAGAATTCATTTAGTAGTTATGAAAGCGCTAATAGGGAACTTGCACATTAAATTAAATATGAAATAAATAATAAAATACAATAACAATCATCCTAATAAATGATGCAATTAGGAAAAGGATATAATATCTTATCTCTGGTTTCCAAAATCTTCAATTGAAAATACCAAATAATACGAAATTCATGACAAGATCAAAAACGTATTTCTATGGGTCCTGACGTCAAAGGGCAGTAATAATCGGGTCGCACCGCTGCCACGCCATGTGCTGCTGGTGTTGTCAATGTCAAATCTATCATAAACGGCATACATAACAACATAACCATAATCTAAATCTACCTGCTCGCAGGTCACTGTCAACCAAGGACTGTAAACGGAACACCCTACATTCTTATACATTTTTACATACCCCTTGAAGGGCAAATCCAACGATATATTGGTCATGTGTCTATGATATACAGTTTCTTCAAACTTATTAGCGATTATCTTCAGGCTTTGGGGTAATTTTAAATAGTCATTGTTAATATTGTTACGTTACTCATTGTTTGGGCCTAACGCCGACCCTGTAATAAAATTCACTACGCTGAGAAAGAGATAAAAAATTCACTACGCCGAGATCAGTGATGTCGTTTTTAGTACATTTGTACTAGATTCAGTACACTCCAATGTAATTTAGTACGTCAGTACACCATCGATAATTTTAGTACAATTGGCGAGTTCGGAAATGACATCGCAGATGCGACAGAGATTTTTACACGTGATTTCAAATTAATTTTATATAAAGTAAACACGTGAAAACTGTCAAAATCTTTTTGCTTTTGGAGCCATTTTCCGAACCTAGCTATTTTAGAGAAAACTACAAATCACTAATAGCGAGTTCCATTTGCAGAATCAGTGCAAAAATGATTACCTATCTCTATCCTTACATTTTATATGCTTTCAGAAAAAGATGCAGAATGCGAAAACACTGGTATTGCATGTATTATCGTTTAATCGAATGACCGATGTCACAACTCAGAAATAGATTTTTCGTTAAGTCACCCGCATAAATGCTTAAAATTGTTAGGTTAGATATTTAGTACATTTTTAGGTAATTTTCATTTTCGATGTTTTATTTAATAGGCTACCTATATCGAAAACCAGCAGAGATATCAAAAACCTGGGAGCTCATTCTCGAACTCTTTTTTTGAGAAAATAACAATGGCAAAGACAAATCACGGCTAACTTGTTTTTCAAGGAGAATCCAGTGGCATGACCAATTTTTTTCCTGATGCCACCGATTTTGGAATATTGACCAAAGTTGTATTTTTTAAATGGGACACCCCGTATTAGGGATGGCAAAAATATATCGATATTTTGTAAATATCGATATATTTCTCAAATATATCGATATAATTTAATCGATATTTCACATTCGATATATCGAAAAAAATATCGAAATAATTTTTTCGATATATCGGAAATTTTAAAATAATTCTTGACTCGTGCGCATATTTCATTTGTTGACTGTGACAGTCTGACAGTTGACAATGACGGCTAAAATAAAACAAGCGTCAGTTAGGGCGTGTAGGTACGTACCAACTAAATGAGGAAAAGAGACTTTCCGCATGATTAAAAAACGTTATTTTCCTACGAACCTGCGGAAAAGTACATTTCCACGCGCATTTTAGAACATGAAAATATCAGGGTGACCTAACATTGTATAATTATTTTACTTTTCCACACTAGTGCGGAAAAGTGATATTTTCATGGCCTAAAATGCGTGCACTTTTCGCACACTCGTAGAAAAAAATTGAAAAATAAAATATATATCGATATATTCGAAATATCAATGTTTTTTGTTCGATATATCGAATGTATCGATATGTTATTTCGATATATCATATGATTCGATATATTTTTTTATTTTGCCATCCCTACCCCGTATATTATTTTTTTATTGAATAGTTCTTTGTAAACTGATTTCAATGATATAAGGTTTTATACCTTTATTTCCAATAGTTTTGGAGAAAAAAAAATAAATTTCGTTTTTTCCATAAGAAACAATGAGTTAGAAAGAGATAGTTGAACTATGAATCGGCTACAAATTTCTTAATTCTTAATTTAATTTTTCAGTTCAGCTAATTTTTTTTTTTAAATTGAACTATAAATCGGGGGTGATAAATAGGCAACACATAATTTATTTAATGACTTATCTCTCTCTAGCTCATTGTTTCTTATGGAAAAACGGAATTAATTTTTTTTTCTCCAAAACTAAAAAAGGTAAAGGTATAAAACCTTATATCATTGAAATCAGCTCACAAAGAGCTATTCAATGAAAAAATAATATACATTGTGTCCCATTTAAAAAAACACAACTTCGGTCAATATTCCAAAATCGGTGGTATCTGGAAAAAAATTGATCATGCCACTGGATTCTCCTTGAAAAACTGCCTATAGAAAGTATTTTTCGTTTTTGGATATCTTGAATAATAAGGAAATTAAAGAGTCTTTAGTCTTTTAAAATTGGACAAAATTTGAAAAGTGCCCTGTATTTCCTAAACGCATCAAGTTAGCCGTGATTTGTCTTCGCCATTGTTATTTTCTCAAAAAAAAGAGCTCGAGAATGTGCTCCCAGATTTTTGATATCTCTGCTGGTTTTCGATATAGCCTATTAAAACATCGAAAATGGGCCACCCTGTACAGGGTGTCCCAAATTCGAGGGTGACCATTGAGATATCGGAAACTATAAGAGATACGAGGTCAATTAAATTATAGCGCAATTTTATGGCCAATAAAATGCTGTTTGAAATTTGAAAAATTCCGAAGATATTCGGAAAAACCCGAAATTTTTCAAAATCATTTTTATTTTTTCCTGAGTCTATTTGAATAGAATTTCAAAATAAATGTCACTTCATCGTTGTCATTTTTTCCCCTTTACAAGATGTTAATACCAAATTTCAGATTTGACGTTTCGTCTTTGGGCGGCCATCATCAACTTTATTTTATCAAATACGAACCTGAATTTTTTATTTCAGATTTTAAGAGCTTCTGTTGTCCCAAAACCTATGACGATTCGCATTTATTCGAAAAAACATTTTTTTTTTACTTTTTAGTAATTTCTTACCAAAATTCTATTCTCTGTCTGTCTCTAACACATTTAGTTTTTATGGTAAGTGCCAATAATATAAGTTTTCTGAATAAATGCGATACGTCATAGGTTTTGGGACATCAGAAGCTCTCAAAATTTAAAATAAAAAATCCAGGTCCGTATTTGAAAAAAAAAAAAATTGATGATGGCCGCCTAAAGACGAAACGTCAAATTTCAAATTTGGTAACAACATCTTGTAGAGGGGAAAAAGTGACAATGATAAAGTGATATTTATTTTGAAATTGCTTTTCTCATTGCTTGACTCAGGAAGAAAAAAAATGATTTTGCAAAATTTCGGATTTTTCCGAATATCCTCGAAAGTAGGTATTCAGAATTTTTCAAATTTCAAAACACCTTTTAATTGGTCATGTCATAAAATTGCGCAACTTTGCCATAATTTAACCGACCTCGTATCTCTTATAGTTTCCGATATCTCAATGATCACCCTCGAATTTGGGACACCCTGTACATTTCAAGTAAAGTAAATGACCCCTCAATAACGGATAACCAAAAAAAAAAAAAAACCCCGAAATGATCCCTGAAATCAAAAAAGCATGCTTATCCTCTAAAATAACCAGATAGAAGGATAAGGCATAATAAAAGGAATATCAGTAGTTAGGTACAATAACTGCGTCATGGGTAACCATTAACCCATAACACCATCAATAACACTGTAAGACTGCTATCCACATTTATCACTCAGTATTTCACCAAAAAGTCACATGAAACTCCCGAAAAATCCCATGAATGTCCCGAAAAGTCCCGTGAATCCGTGAATGTCCTGAAAACGCACAATTTAGTTCCGATCAATCCTGTACCGAGACGATAACCCCAATTCACCGTGATTTTCCTAATAATTCCAAATTCCAAGTTCAATTTGCAACCAACCAATAAATCATCTGAATCACTGAATTATCGGGTCGTATTAACCAAAATGTTTTGTTAATTCACTGGTTGTACTATAAAAAAAAAAATCAGAAAACGGCAACACTGTCTCATGTCGATTTTACCAGTGGCGGCGTTTAATTTTGAAAAAATGTAAACTGAAATAAATTTTTCTATACTTTATTTTTTTCCAAGCTAGATTTTGGCATTGTCAATTTTGAAACATAAATAATGCCGCTTATTGGTCGCTATTGTAAAACTGATGTCAACCTGCAAAAACACCTCATTTTGCGACCAATTAGGGTCAAGCGTTATTGCTTATGTTTCAAAGTTTTCAATGTCAAAATCTACCTTGGGAAAAAATAAAGTATACATATCTTCTCTTGAAATTGTCGAAAAAGAAAATTCAAAAGTCAGGAATAGAAAAAACATGAATGTCCCATTCGATACATATCGATATGACAAATAATTATCTATAAGCACCTTAATCGAGGGCGTATCGATGTATATATCGATAAACCATATCAATAAATTTTCCTCTAGATTAAACTTAATCTGCAACAAATTGATCTTCAAAACTGAAATTTTTCTTGGGTTTGATAAAAATTCAACAAAAATTTCGAAAAATAAATGACGTTTGTCAACTTGAGTCATTTTAATCATAATTCACTTGTCATTCATAAAATTGTTATGATAATAGTATCGCATTATTCTGAAGCATTTGTATCTTATCTAGGAATAAGAAATAAATTTTCCAATACTATCGATATTATTTCAATTATGCGATACTAAATTTACTTGTATCGAAATTATAGAGACATTTGATTTGCCATTGAAATCTTTGTTTCAATTTCAATTGGGCTTGAAAACAGTTCAAAAATATATATATTTTTTTTTTGACAGTTGAAGTTTAATGCAATGTTTGTCTGTCAACTGTCATAATATGTTTGTCAAAACAATTCAATTAAAAAAGTTAGCCTTCTGCGACGTTGCCAGCGGCCTTTCTCCTTTGAAAAAAAAATTTCGGCACAATTTTGTGTAAGTTAAATGTCAGAGTTTGTTCTGTCATTTCACGGGGACATAACCTCGAAATTTTTTTTTAATGTGACGCCGTGGGCATAATAAAGTTGACGATCGTAACGTAAAGGTACGTTTACATTTAATTCCAAAAAATTCAAATTGGTTCACGGAAGAACAGCAAATTGACAAAAGACAAATGACGAGGGTGTCATGAAAATAAATGTCATTTTGATCATTGACAATGACGTTGTCAAACTGACAAATTCAACCTTTTTGCGACGTTGCCAACTTCAATTATTTTTCTCTGTTCCAGTTTACGGCTCCAATATGGCCGGGCGTCTACTCGTTCACGGTGTGCCTGAAATCGGACTCTTACATCGGCTTCGATCAGCAGAAAGACTTTAAGTTGGACGTCAAAGAGGCGCCGGCCGAAATCACCAAACATCCGCAATGGGAGTTCGAGGATTCCGAAGAGGAAAATCCGCTGGACAAGGCCGATCAAGAGTCCGAGTACACTACGGACGAAGATCTGCCCGAGGACGAAGACTAAAAAACTTTTTATTTTTGTTTTTGTTTGTTGATTTATTTTGTGTCCTTATTGTCCCTTCATCAAAAAACGGTAAGTTTTGTCTTTTTTTAATTTGAATTATTACTTTATTTGAGTTTTGTCCAGTGATAATCAATTATTTGTTTTGTTTTCTTTTTCTACTTTATTTTTGTTCCACTTAAAAGTGAAGTCATTGTTTCTCTGGTACGAGGGGTGTTCTTTAAGATATAAAAAAAAAAAAAATAGAAACCGACGATGATTTATATTTATAATGAAATACACTTTTTGATTGAATCAACAAACTTTTGAAATTTCATTTGCAAGCCCCATTAATATATTGTCTGGCCAACGAATCTGAAACTACAATTGCAAAAAAAAAAAAATCTTCTGATTTCATTCATAAAATACCCACAGCTGCGTCCTCAATTTTTTGGATATTTCTATAATCAAACATCGCACTTTCGTAGCTTCAGATCCATTGGCCAGACAATAGTTTGATCGATATTGTAAAATACAAACACAAAATGCGCGTTCCGAGTACGATAAACGAAAATTGCTTGAAAACTTACGAACTGGGAAAAACTTTCGCGCAAATCTGGAAAATTCCTAAATCCCTTCGAGAGCTTTGCATTGAACATATTGCCCAAAATTGGGCAACAAATCCAATCTTGGACGAAATCATTCTCCAGGAAGACAAACATCTACTCCTGGACATTCTTCCAAAATCCCTACCCTTACAAATTACTTTGCCAAAAATCCATAACGAAATCTATTGGAAAAAGTGTTTCGTTAAACGATGGCCGAAATTGGCGTCAAACGTCAAAGTTGTCAATGTCAAAAATATTCTCAAAATTGACAGCGAAACGGACAGTGTAAGTAGTAAAGCGTCAAGTAGGAAAAAAATCAGGTTTGAGGAGATTTCTGATGGCGAAGGAAGGACGTGGAAGAAGTACTACTGCGAAATGCACATCAAAGATTATCTGGAAAAATTGAAACCCGAGGATTATGATCCGGGAAAGGTAGTTTGGCAACAATGTATATATTGTTCAGGCACTTTTTTTTCGTTTAAAGAGTTGACAACATTTTTTTTTTTTGCATTATTTGGCAACACTGTTTATAATTGTTCATCCCTATTGCACTCATATGTAACTTTATTGCTGGCACTGTTTTATCATATTTTCTTTGTAATCATCTATTTTTGTCCTTATTTGATTTTGCTTTTCAATAATTATGTTTTTCCATCAATTGGCAACACTGTTTATAAGTAAATCTCCATCTTTGTCGCACTTATTTTTAATTTTGCTTAAATTAACTACACTACTAATCATCTTTTTTTGATGTAATGATCCTACTTTTCAATTATTTTTTTCAACACCAATTGGCAACACTGTTGATTAATGAATCTCTCTCTTTTTCGCACTTATTTCTAATTTTACGTCAATTGACAACACTACCAATTATGTATTTTTGTATCTTTTTTTTTTTTTCTTGTTATAATTTCTTTCTTTTTTTTTCCTCCAATTGGCAACACTGTTGATTTGGTATTGAATCTCTGTCTTTGTTACAATTATTTTTAATTTTGCATTGATTGGCAACACTGCTAAACATCTATTTTACTGTTTTCTTCCTTGTAATGATCTTGCTTTTCAATTATGTTTTTCTATCAATTGGCAACACTATTGGTTAGTAAATCTCTTGTCTTTATCGCATTTATTGCAATAATTGGCAACACTGTTGATTAGTGAATATTTACTTTTGTCGAACTTATTTCTAATTTTGCGTCAATTGGCAACACTGTTAATGATCTAAATATTTTTGTGATTTTTTTCTTTGTAATAATCCTGCTTTTCAATTGTTTTGCCACCAATTGGCAACACTGTTGATTAGTGAATATCTGTCTTTGTCGCACTTATTGCATTAATTGCCAACACTACTAAACATCTATTTTTGTGATTTTTTCTTTATCATGATTTTCTTTAATTTTTTTACCACCATTTGGCAACACTGTTGATTAGTGAATATCTACTTTTGTCGCACTTATTTTTAATTTGCATCAATTGGTAACATTGTTAATGATCTATCTTTGTAAAATTTTTCCTTACAATGATCCTGCTTTTCAATTATGTTTTTCCACCAATTGGCATCACTGCTGGTTAATGAATCTCTCTTATTGTCACATTCATTTCATTAATTGGCAACACTGCTGAACGTTTATTTTTGTAATTTCTTTTTACATTGATTTTCTCTAATTTTTTTTTCTACCAATTGGCAACATTGTTCATTAGTGAATATCTGCTTTTGTCGTACTTATTTCTAATTTTTCGTCAATTGGCAATACTGCTGATCACCTATTTCTGTGTTTTTTTTTTCTCGTAATAATCCTGTTTTTCACTTATGTTTTTCCACCAATTGACAACACTGTTAATTCGTGAATCTTTGTCAATATCTGGCAACACTGTTAAACATACATCTATTTTTGTGGTTGTTTTCTTTACAATAATTTTCTTTTTTTCCACCAATTAACAACACATCTACTTTTGTCGCATTTATTTCTAATTTTGCGTCAACTGGCAACACTGTTTATGATCTATTTTTTGTGATTATTTTCCTTGTAATGATCCTAGTTTTTAATTATGTTTCTCCACCAATTGGCAACACTGTTGGTTAGTGAATCTGTCTTTATCGCACTTATTGCAATAATTGGCAACACTACTGTTTTTGTATTTTTTTTTATGATTTTTTTTTTTTTTTCACCATTTGACAACACTATTGATTAGTGAATATCTGCTTTCGTCGCACTTATTCCTAATTTTGTCTCAATTGGCAACACTGTTAATAATCTATTTTTGTGATTTTTCTCCTTGTAATGATCCTGTTTTTCAAATATGTATGTTTTTCCACCAATTGGCAACACTGTTAAATAATGAATCTCTGTCTTTGTCGCACTTATTGCAATAATTGATAACATTGCTATTCATCTATTTTTAGTTTTTTTTTCTTTAAATGATTTAAAAAAAAAAAAAATCTCCACCAATTGGCAACACTGTTGATTAGTAAATATCTGCTTTTGTCGCAGTTATTTCTAATTCTACGTCAATTGGCAACACTGTTAATAATCAATTTTTGTGATTTTTCTCCTTGTAATGATCCTGCTTTTCAAATATGTATGTTTTTCCACCAATTGGCAACACTGTTGGTAAGTGAATCTCTGTCTTTGTCGCACTTATTGCAATAATTGACAACACTGCTAAACATCTATTTTTCTGTTTTTTTTGTAATGATTTTCTTTATTTTTTTTTCTACTAATTGGCAACACTGTTGATTAGTAAATATTTGTTTTTGTCGCACTTATTTCTAATTTTACGTCAATTGACAACACTGTTAATGATCTATTTTTGTGATTTTTTTCCTTGTAATGTTTGCTGCACTTTTTGCATTGATTGGCAACACTGCTAAACATCTAATTTTGTGTTTTTTTTTTCTCTGTATTGATTTTTTTTTTTTAAATTCCACCAAATGGCAACACTGTTAATTTATGAATATCTGCTTTTCTCGCACTTATTTTTAATTTCGCGTCAATTAGCAACACTGTTAATAATCTATTTTTGTGATTTTTTCCTTGTGTAATGATCCTGCTTTTTAATTATGTTTTTCCACCAATTGACAACACTGTTGATTAGTGAGTAAATTGCTGTTTTTATCGTATTTATTGCATTAATTGACAACATTGCTAAACATCTATTTTTGTGATTTTTTTCTTTAAATAATTTTTATTTATTTTTTCCACCAATTGGCAACACTGTTGGTTAGTGAATCTCTGTCTTTGTCGCACTTATTGCAATAATTGGCAACACTGCTAAACATTTATTTTTGTGGTTTTTTTCTTTATAATCATTTTCTTTTTCCACCAATTGGCAACACTGTTGCTTAGTGAATCTCTGTTTTTGTCGCACTTATTTCTAATTTTATGTCATTTGGCAACACTGTTAATGATCTATTTTTATGATTTTTTCCTTGTAATGATGATCTTATTTTTCAATTATGTTTCTTTACCAATTGGTAACACTGTTGGTTGGTGAATTTCTATCTTTATTGCACTTTTTGCATTGATTGGCAACACTACTAAGCATCTAATTTTGTGTTTTTTTTTTTTAATTTTTTTCCGCCAAACGGCAACACTGTTAATTAAAGAATATCTGCTTTTGTCGCACTTATTTCTAATTTCGCGTCAATTTGCAACACTGTTGGTTAGAGAATTTCTGTCCTTGTCACACTTATTGCAATAATTGGCAATACTGTTAAACATCTAATTTGTATTTTTTTCATTGTAATGATTTTCTTTAATTTTCCACCTTTTGGCAACTCTGTTGATTAGTGAATATCTGCTTTTGTCGCACTTATTTCCAATTTTGCGCCAATTGGCAACACTGTTGGTTAGTGAATCTCTGTTTTTGTCGCATTTATTGCATCAATTGGCAACACTGCTAAATATCTATTTTTGTGTTTTTTTGTTTATAATAATTTTCCAATTGGCAACACTGTTGATAAGTGAAATTTGTCATACCTATTTTCAATTTTGTATTAATTGGCAACATTGCTTGTCATTTATTCTTGCACTTATTATTTTTATTTGTAATGTATTGACCCTGGTTTTCAATTATTTTTACGCATTAATTGGCAACACTGTTAATGAGTGAATCTTTTGTCTTTGTCACATTTATTTTTAATTTTGCATAAATTGGCAACACTGTTGATTAGTGAATCTCCTTCTTTGTCGCACTTATTCGTAATTCTGCATTGATTGGCAACACTGCTAATAATCTATTTTTTTAATTTTTTTTTCCTTTGTAATGATCCTGTTTATCAATTTTTTTTTTCATTAATTGGCAACACTGTTGATTAATGAATTTCTGTCTTTGTCGCACTTATTTCTAATTTTATATTAATTGGCAACACTGCTAATCGTTTATATTTGTGATTTTTTCCTTAGGCCTCTTCGGATTTCGGAAACGCTGATCCGATTCATCAGATCACTAACTGATGTCCTTTGTCTTTTTTCAATCACATCCATTAAAGAAAGATAAAAAACAAACACCTGGTGATCGGAATAGCGTTTCCCAAAAGGGGATAATGAGTTTTTGCTTTTCAATTTTTTTTATTTTTCATCTATTGGCAACACTGTTCTGATCAGTGAATATCTGTCTTTGTTGCACTTAATGCATTTATTGGTAACTCTGTATTATCATCTCTCATTTTTGCACTTGATATCATTTCTCCTGTCAATAATTTCGCTATTAAATTTTTTACTTGCACCACTTGGCACCATTGGTCAATCAATGACTATCACCTATCTTCGTCCCACTCCTACGTTGCCATTCTCTCTGTATCTTTTCCAGATCAAGGAACTGTGCGATCTGTGCGGGCCTCACGTCGAAATCCTCAAAATCCAGGAAATGATTTCTTCGGAAAATTCTCCAAATAAAATCCCGTTGAACGCCATCGTTACGGGCCTGGCAAATTTGACAGAAATTTCTTTGACGTTTAAACAGGTTTGTTTACAAAATGGCGATCAAAGATGGCGCCTCCTAATAAGGCAATTCGAATTCAAGGATGATACACTTTACTAAAATCCCTCCCCTTCCTCCCATGCCAAATCACCAATTGTGACGTATGTTATTTTTCGCCTTGATGTAGGCTGTTTAAACAGTTGACGACTCAGTTATGACGTCGAAAATGGTGACACACCAATATGGAGGCGATTACCAAAAACGAGGCTGATAAGCAATTCTGTACGTGTGTATCATCTTTGATTCGAATCAGCTGATAATTCAAGATGGCGACGTGGTAATAACAAACTTGACGACCTTGAGGATACGTTTACATTGAATTCCAATCAATTGTATGCTCTGTTATTCCCACGGCGCCATATTGAATTATTGAGTGAAAGTCAAATCGTCCTATTCAAAGAGCCATTTTTGTTTTTGAAGAATTTTCCAAATTTTGTGTTTTCAAGGCGTACGCCAAAGACGATTTTTCCTGGAACATCGTCAACACGTCATATCAGGACATTGCCTTGTTTGCCAGAGGTCTGGAAAAAATACGTCTTCAAACATTGAGGTAAATTCATCATAACTGAATTAGACACTAGCTGATGTCACACTCATAACTTAAATTTCGATGGGGAGACAAAAAACGTCAATGTGCTCGACTTGTCTGGTTCATTTGAGAAATATGGTTTCGTGACACTAAGGTTTGTGACGTTATGTGATTTTTGACGTCCTAATTTTTCTCCCCATCGAAAGTGAGGTTATGTGTGAGACGGTAGCTAGTGCCTAATTCAATTATTGAATTCAAAAATTCTCATTTTTAGAATTACAAATTCAGATATAAATTGCGACAAGGCCCTAATTATATTGAAATCTCTATTGAAACATGATTTGGAAATTTTGGATTTTTCTCATTGTAAAGTGGGCGACAGAGGCGCCACTGCTCTGGCTAAATTTTCCATGGAAAATGGCGTCAACGAAGTTTATCTGGCAAACAATCGAATAGGTAATTGACACTTGTCACTTTTGAGTGACTGTTCGAAGATTTGTTTTGGTTTTACTCCAAATACTCCAGAACTAGTTGAGATTGTTCCAGAACAATTCTTTCAATTCTTGCTCTGAGTTCTAAATAATCCAGCTTGATTACGATTTTTGAAAAAACGAAAACGCTTTGTACAACATGTTTCTGAACTAGTTCCGAGTTAAACCAAAACAAAACCTTATGTGTAATTTTTGACACATTAAATGACAGTTCTTAGTAGGCCATGGAAATTTCCTTTTTCAGGTCCGACAGGTGTCAATTGTCTGGCCTACGCTTTGACACAGAACACCTGCAAAATAAAAATCCTGGATTTACGTTTGAATCAATTCCTGGACGATTCTGGGAATGTTCTAATAAATTCCGTATTTTTCCGCAATAAATTCCTAAGGAATTTAACAATTTCCGGATGCGGTTTGACCTCGAATTTCCAATTAGCACGAGCCTTGAAATCCAGAAATTATTGTTTGGAAAAGCTGGATTTGAGCAACAATTTTTTCGATGAGGAGTTTGGATTGAGGCTTTTAGAGGCTTTGAGTTTTAGTAATAAAACGCTTAAAAAATTGGATTTGAGGATGTGCAAAATTGCCTCAAAGATTGAGGCTCAGATTCATCAAGAAATTTATCAGAATCGTGAAAAAGGGATTGAGCATTTTGAGGAGGAAATTCCTGAAATTAGTTGGGATGAAAGTTTAGTTGAAGAAATGGATGAAGTTTTCGTTGAACAAAGTTTGACGTCAGTTGAAGACCCATTGGTTGACATTGTTGACAAATAATGACGTTTACTTCATTGTTTATCTGTCAAGTGTGACAATTAAAACAACTTGATATTTTTCTTTTACATTATACACATTTATTTTATCTTTTTTTATACAATAAATTAATTTAATTTTTTTTTGGTTGTTTCTCTTTCTCACACGTTGAAATTTATATTTTTTCTCTCACATTAACTATTTACAAAAATCAATCAGTTACAACTACTAATTGGCTAAAAATCGATATTTTTGTGCAACAAATTGATTGTACATCAGGCATAAAAATATTTATATTTTGTAAAATTTTTATACAATTAGAAATATAAAATAGGAAAAGTTTGAAAAATAATTCTAAAAATCGCAAATAAATAGAATTCTATTTAAGTGAGAATTTCTATTTTAAAATTGCATAGAATTCTCTCTATTGTCATCATTTATTTCTGCTCTAGAGTAAAAAAATAAAATAAAATCACATTCTAAACCCTTTTATAATGATTTTCGCCATAACGTCGGCGTTTAGACTGTGAACTATTTTTCAAACTTGCCTAAGAAAAATACACATAAATTTACAGGTAATTTAAGGTACAGTTTGACAGACTTAGTGACAGGGTGGTCCTCAGAAATAATGAGACAGGAAGCGTATCATTTTTTTGGTTCCTACAGCCCTCCAGTTAACTTTTATCTAACGGATACGAAGTGAGGGGCCTTAAAATTGGAATTTTTTGTGTGATATGTTTTAAGACAGGTAAATGTCTGTCAAATTTTGACAGAATAAGAAGATTCTCTACATGCAAAAATTGGTTGTCAACATTGTCATTTGACAAGTGAAAACGTCAATTTTTTTTTTTTGACAGTTAAAGCGTTTTCGAGTTCAAAGAGAGATAGCACCAGCAAGATTTTCAATTTTCTAATTTTTATAATTTTCTAATAATAATAATAATAATTTCATTATTAATTTTTCTGTACAAATAATTATTTGAACCAATTAAATATTTTCTGCCGCATTCAAGGTTGTTTAAAACGAGGTTGCCTGATAACTTTAATGACGTCATTTGTATGCCTCAACATAAGGCACCCCAGATGCGTCATCACGTTACCCATTACCAGACAACTTATGAACTTTGGGCCGCATTGATTTTTTTCTGTCAAATGTCAATATGACACATAAATTCTTATTGTCAAAAAAAATTCAATTGTGCATTCAACAAACGTAAAATATCATTTTTTTTTTTTAATATCAATCGAGGTATTCATGGCAACAAGTGTTGCCACAATGTCACAATTCCTTGTCAATTGTGCAACGTTGGTGCAAAATGTCAAAAACAGTGTTGCCACCAAAATAAATTAGACAGGTTCGCTGGAATATGTACAGCAACGGCAAAAAATAAATTTACTGAAACATTCCTCGGGCGGAACGTTGACCTCCTGGCGTCAGATTAAATTATTTTGCCGCGTTTTGATTGGCGAATTTTGTAAACTGCGATGCGCCGTCCGGTCCTGCGCAGCCGGCGACGAAGTAGACGGAAGTTGATTGTCGGAAGTGACGTCAGCGTCGGAAGACCAATTTTTCTCTTTTCCTTTTCTGGATTTTGATTTGGAATCTTGCGACAAACCCAGTCGGTCGGTGAATTGTCTGAAGCGAGACAAAATCGATTTGGATTTTTCGGTTTCTTTTAATACAGTGACGTCATTGTCTGTTTCGTTATCGCACGAATATCGATACTTTTTTGTATAGTCGGTTGTAGCTACAATGTGATTTTTCAAAATACTCTTTTTATCTGAATGTTCGGAATTCCGTTTATTCAAATTCAATGTTTCTTTGGAAATTATACATTCTTCGTCTTCATTGGTGCCGTTTGTTTGTAGGCCTTCTTCAAACTTTTTTTTTAAAGTTAACGCATACTCATCTAAAAATGCTGGACTATCACATGACAACTTTTTCCTATCTGCCATATAGTGATGGTCAAAGCTCAAAGCTGAAGTCTTTAGTTTGCCTTTTTGCATCATCCGGCTCAAATCCGAGTGATTCAATTGGCTCCCTTTCCTGGAACCTGGATAACTTTTCCGGCCTGTAGTCGAACATTCCGTTGAAATTTTGAATTTTAAAGCCTTTTCGGAAACTTCAACTTCGTTTGCAGTTTCAGAATCTCCACTTTCTGGATCTTCCAAAACATCTTCTAAACTTTCTTCAACATTCTGTAAAGAGCCTTCGTTGCTTTGTTCGGTATCGTCATCAGTGGAACGCGATCTTGATCGATTCGATAAAGATTTCGCCTTAAAACTGACATTAGACGTAGATTTTGGTAAACTGACAGCACTGTCAGGATTCTGATGTTCGCTTTGGGCCAATTCGGCCACGATACTTTTACGGTGCAGTCTTTCCTCTCTCGTCATGTCGTTTAGTCTTTTGTAATAATCAAGCGCGTCTCGTACAGGTTGAACTATGAGATCCTACAACATAAAAGTTATGTAATATTAACGTAACAATGCATTAAAAATTCTTACTTGCAATTCAGTCAAAAGTTCGCCTAAAGCCTCGAAAAGCGGCAACAAAACGAACCCAATGAAGGAGCATTGTGAGGACGGTTTTGTGATTTTTTCTCGGTCCATGAAGGGAGTGATCGGCAAACCTTCGAGCTTTTCCGCATCGCTTTGCTTGAAAAATTCTTGCAAGAGGCGGTCCAGCCACGGCTCGGCGATGTCCATTGGACGGGCCTCATTCGATATGTCAGATACTTTGATCAGTACCATACACAACTGAAAAAAAATCTAAATCTGCAAATATTCAAGATACTGATGTGTAAATATCTTGGCATACCAATGACGTCATGAAAGTTACTATGCAAACTCCTCTTTTGGTCAGCCTTGATCATTGACATGAAAATCTACCCGTATAGTTGTTTACAAATCAAGACATAGGTATCTGTAATGTTTTTATTGCATTGACCTGTCTGTAACGTCACAATAGACATATTCTTGTTACATTAGTTTGACAAGAGCGAGTCTACAAGTGTTCGAGACATTGATGTGTAAACATATCGGCATACGAATGACGTCATGAAAGTTACAACGCAACCCCTTCTTTTGATCATTGACATGAAAATCTACCCTCAAACTGCCGATATAGAATTTTACACATCAAAACATATCTGTAATGTTTTTATTATATTGACATGTTTGTAACGTCACACTTGTTATATTGATTTGACAAGTATGACAATTCCTTACCAAATTGACGTGAGCCTTGTCGTTATAATCGAAACAAGCCGAAACCTCCCTGAAGTTGGTCAAAATCTCGTTGTGTCTGGCCATGTCAGTGGCCAAAATACACCTGATCATCCCCTCCCTAATCAGTTTGAATTCTTCGCTGTCGAAGGATTTGAAGATGTTGCAATCGTCGTTTTCCAATAGTCGAAAGGCCACGCTGCAATGGTGGTTTTCCAACGGCGATATGTCGTTGTAACGTATCGCTAGTTCGGTCTGAAAAGAATGACAAATGACGTTCAATTTAACGTTTATCTGTCAACTCCTGTCACAGAGAAATTAGTGTCAAGTGTGAGAGAGATAGAACTTTTACTAGATAAAGAAACTATACAAAGGGAGAGAGATGGAATCGATTCTTGTCTATTCCCGGCACTTGAATTCAACTCAGTCATAAACAAATTGATTGACAAATGACGTTCAATTCAATGTTCATCTGTCAACTGCTGTTACAATAGCTATTTGTGTATTAAGAGCGCAAAGTAATACTGTTATCGCGCGACGCGGTCGGGAAAAAAATAGGCGAGAAAAGTAATTTTATAAAAAAAGTCGAGAAAAAAAAGCGGGAAAAAAGAAATTCGGCAAAAAAGTCGAGAAAAAAAAGTCGAAAAAAAAAATGTTCGGGAAAAAAAAATGGCCGGGATAAAAAAAAAATAGTCGGGAAAAATAATTCGATAAAAAAAAAGTGGAGAAAAAACAAGTCGAGAAAAAACAAGTCGAGAAAAAAAAGTCGGGAAAAAAAAATTCGGGAAAAAAAAGACGGGAAAAAAAATAGTCGTTAAAAAAAAAGTTGGGAAAAAAAATGGTCGGGAAAAAAAAATTATCGGGAAAAAAAATGGTAAAAAAAAAGTCTGGAAAAAAAGAGGCTGGAAAAAAAAAGGTCTTAAAAGAAAAAGTAGAGAAAAAAAAAATCGGGAAAAAAAAAATTGAGATGAGAAAAAAATGGTCGGGAAAAAAAAATGATCGGGAAAAAAAAATAGTCGGGAAAAAAAAGTCGGGATAAAAAAGCCGGGAAAAAAAAGCCGGAAAAAAAAAGCTGAGAAAAAAAAAGAGGAAAAAAATTTGGGAAAAAAAAATGGAGAAAAAAATGGTTGGGAAAGAAAAAAGTCGGGAAAAAAAAATCAAGAAAAAAATGGTCGGGAAAAATAAGTCGGAAAAAAAAAATTGGGAAAAAAAAGTCGGAAAAAAAGTCGGGAAAAAAAAGTCGGGAAAAAAAAGCTGGGAAAAAAAAGGGGAAAAAAAGCTAGGAGAAAAATGGGGAAAAAAAAGCAGTGAAAAAAAAAACGGGAAAAAAGAAATTGAGAAAAAAATGGTTGGGAAAGAAAAGTCGCGAAAAAAGAAATTCGGAAAAAAAGTCGGGAAAAAAAAAGTCGGGAAAAAAAAGTCGGGAAAAAAAAGGGGAAAAAAAAGTAGGGAAACAAAAACGGGAAAAAAGAAATTAGGAAAAAAAAGTCGAGAAAAAGAGTCGGGAAAAAAAAGTTGGAAAAAAAAAACGGGAAAAAAAATAGTCGTGAAAAAAAAAAAGTCCGGAAAAAAAAAGGCTAGAAGAAAAATGGTCGTAAAAAAAAGGTCGACAAAAAAACAATCGGGAAAAAAAAAATCGGGAAAAAAATGGTCGGGAAAAAAAAATTGTCGACAAAAAAAAAGTCGGGAAAAAAGAAGCTGGAGAAAAATGGTCGTGAAAAAAAAGTCGGGAAAAAAAAACGGGAAAAAAGAAATTCGGAAAAAAAGTCGGGAAAAAAAAAGTCGGGAAAAAAAAGCTGGGAAAAAAAAAGGGAAAAAAAGTAGTGAAAAAAAACGGGAAAAAAGAAATTAGGAAAAAAAGTTCGGGAAAAAAGTGGTCGGGACAGAAAAAAGTCGGGAAAAAAAAATCAAGAAAAAAAATAGTCCGGAAAAATAAGTCGCGAAAAAAAAAATTGAGAAAAAAATGGTTGGGAAAGAAAAGTCGGGAAAAAAGAAATTCGGAAAAAAAGTCGGGAAAAAAAAAGTCGGGAAAAAAAGCCGGGAAAAAAAAGGGGAAAAAAAAGTAGGGAAATAAAAACGGGAAAAAAGTCGGGAAAAAAAAATCGAGAAAAAAATGGTCGGGACAGACAAAAGTCGGGAAAAAAAAATCAGGAAAAAAAATTGTCCTGAAAAATAAGTCGAAAAAAAAAGTAGGGAAAAAAAAGTCGGGAAAAAAAAAACGGGAAAAAAGAAATTCGGAAAAAAAGTCGGGAGGGAAACAAAAATCGGGGAAAAAAAGTTAGGAAAAAAAATGGTTGGGAAAAAAATGGTCAGGAAAAAAATGGTCGGGAAAAAAAATGGTTGACAAAAAAAAAGTCGGGAAAAAAAGAAGCTGGAGATAAATGGTCGTGAAAAAAAATTGTCGGGAAAAAAAAGTCGGGATAAAAAAGCCGGGAAAAAAAAGCTAAGAAAAAAAAAGGGGAAAAAATGTCGGGAAAAAAAATGGAGAAAAAAATGGTCGGGAAAGAAAAAAGTCGGGAAAAAAAAATCAAGAAAAAAAATGGTCGGGAAAAATAAGTCGGGAAAAAAACGCCGGGAAAAAAAAGTCGGGAAAAAAAGCCGGGAAAAAAAAGCTGGGAAAAAAAAGGGGAAAAAAAAGTCGGGAAAAAAAAGCTGGGAAAAAAAAAGCCGGAAAAAAAAACCGGGAAAAAAAACCGGGAAAAAAAAAGGGGAAAAAAGTCGGGAAAAGTTCATCAGGAAATGCCTACTTTGCGATCACAAATCTAATCGACAAAGCCTGCTTTCTAGGGCGATTGTAGGACAAGAAATTAGTGTCAAGTGTAAAAGAGATAGAACCATTACCAATTAAAAAAAACTATACAGAGGGAGAGAGATGGAATCGATTTTTGTCTATTCCTGGCTCTTGAATTCAACTCTGTCATAAGCAAATTGATTGACAAATGTAGTTGGTGTGTATCTTCGTCCCGTTTTCGCGCTACAAGTAAGACAAGGACCCATATAAATTTGAATTGATATGTCAAAAGTTTGTCCTGCTTCAACGCTACAAGAAAGATAAGGACCGATATATACTTGGAGTATGTATTTTATAACGTCAAATGTGGATTTATTTCTCTTTTAATTTTTAATGGATCAATTCAAATTTTGATCCGTTGAGATAGAATGAGGGCATTCCAGTGACGTCATCTTTGTCACATGTCATCCCAAAACACAAACCAAAATAATTTCGAATTTATAGTCAATTAACGGCAATTAACCAGTCGGTTATATTGACATATGAACAATGCATTTAAAGTCATTTATTACTGATTGGTTGGCAAATGACGTTTGCTTTATTCGTTATCTGTCAACTGTCACCGACCAGTTAAACGCCTTTAATTGATTCATATTATGTCAAATAGATGATAATGGTATTTATCTTTATCCTCTTTCAAAGAGTCAAGGACCAATATAATATTGAAATTATTTATTAGAAGAAAATGTTCTCTGTCTTACTTTAATGTTAGAAGAAAGACAATGACCCATACAATTTTGAGATAATAAAAATAAAAAGCTCATCTGCACTAACTAGTTACAATGAAAACGCTAAATTGATGTCATTATTGTCACTTGTCATAAAAAAAACACAGTAGGCTTTGGAATGAGAAACTGTCAACAACAACATTGGTGGCTCTATCTCTGTCCTGCTTCAGAACTACGAGTAAAACAAGAACCGCGATAATCTTGAAATTAATTATTGAAGGTAAATGATCTCTGTCCTACTTTAGCTTTATGAAAAAGACAAGGGTTAATATAATTTTGAACTTATATAAGTAGATGATATTTATTTATGTCCTGCTTCAGAATTACAAGTAAGACAAGGACCGATATAATTTTAAACTCTTATAAGTAGATTTTTATTTATGTCCTGCTTCAGAACTACATAAGTAAGACAAGGACCGATATAATCTTGAAACTATGTATCAGAGGTGAATGATTTCTTTCCTACTTTAGCATTACAAAAATGACAAGAACCGATAAAATCTTCAAATTAATTATCAAAAGTAGATGATCTCCGTCTTACTTTGGCGTTAAAAGAAAGACAAGGACCAATGTAGTTTTGGAACTTATTGTATAAGAAAATTTCTATTATAAACAGCGCCATCGAATAATAAAGTTTTCCTGAACCGGCGGAAAGAATCTATATAGTCATATTGATTCGATTTCGAGAAATTCGAGAAAACTACTTAAAAAATTCTAACGTCAAATTTGACAGCTCTCAATGTCAAAAATACGACAAGCAGAAAGAAATTCAAAAAAAGCGCCCCGAGTTCCAGCAGATTTTTTTGAATCAATTTTACTTCACCTGTCAAAAAAAAAAATTGACAGCTGTCATACGACCGGAATTTGTTGCGATAGGGTTGTTTGCCTTTCCCTCCCGCTTTACTATACAAACTATAACGGTACATTACGTTTATTCGAAGTGAGCTACTTGTCATTGTGAAAAAAAATTTGACAGCTGTCAACGTCAAAAAAGTTTTTTTTTTTTTCAATTTTCGAGAACTAAAATTTACGATGCCTGGAAAACGACCTCAAAAACCCTAAAATAAAGTTGACATTGACATGTCAAAAAATATCAATTTTCGAAAAATAAAATTTACGATGGTCAGAAAACGATTCGCCGACCTCAAAAACTGTAAAAAAAAAAATTGACATTGACATAGGTCAAAAAATGACAGCCTGACAAAGTAAAATTTGAAAGACGCATTTAGATAGAATTTTTGACGCCCAACATTTTGGTGATATTGACAGAAATAACCTGTCAAATCTGACATGTTTGCCTCTCTCTCCGGCGCCATCGTGTAATAGTACTCTGAACCAGCGGAAAAAAATTATATAGTCGAGAAATACGAGGAAAATACTTGAAAAATTCCAATGTTAAATTTGACAGCTGTCAATGTCAAAAATATAATAAACAGAAAAAAGTTCAAAAAAGGGCCCCGAGTTGCACCAGATTTTTTTGAAACAATTTTGCGTCACCAGTTAAAAAAAAATTGACAGCTGTCATACGACCCGAGTTTGTTGCGGTAGGGTTGTTTGCTTTTCTCCCCATTTTACTACACAAACTACAACCAACAAATTCGATGCACAACGATTAGTCGAGGTAGGCTACCTGTCAGTGTCAAAAAAAATTGACAGCTGTCAACGTCAAAAGAATTTTTTTTTTTCAATTTTCGAAAAAAAAAAGAAATATGATAGTCTGATAACGATCCCTGGATTCCAAAAACCCTAGAAAAAAAAACATCGACATATATGTCAAAAAACGACAGCCTGACAAGGTCGAACGTCTTTTTTGACAGACGCATTCGGATCGAATTTTTGACGCCCGACTTTTTGGTGATCCTGACAGATATCACCTGTCAAATCTGACACATGTTTGCTTCTCTCCCCGCTTTACCATACAATCACCAACTCGGTGCATGACGGATATATGTCAGTGTCAACATTTTTTGACAGTTGTCAACGTCAAATTTTTTTTTTCAATATTTCTTTTTTCAAAAAAAAAAAAAACGGATAACGATCCCTGGACCCCAAAAAACGTATATAAAAAAATCCCATCGATATATGTCAAAAGTTGATGCCAAAAAACGTGATTTTTTTTGACATATACATATGTCAAATTTTGATGACGCGTTCGAGTATAATTTTTGTCGCTCGACAATTTGTTGACAATTGCAGATGTCATCATATCATATCCGCTTGTCATATTTTTGACGTTGACAGCTATCAAAATTGATGATGGACTTTTTTTTGTCCTGTTAATGTCAGAAATATGACAAGCAGAAAAAAATTCAAAAAAAGGGCCCCCAGTTGTACCAGATTTTTTTGACCCTAAAAAAAATGACATTGACATATGTCAAAAAACGACAACCTGACATGGTCAAACGTCTTTTTCAACATAATGTCAAATATGAGAGATGCATCCGGATAGAATTTTTGACGCCAAAAATTTTGGCGGTATTGACAGATGTCAACTGTCAAATCTGATATATGTTTGCCTCTCTCCCCGCTTTACTATACATACCACTATCACTAACTCGGTACATGGCGGTTTATGTGGTGAACTATCTGTCAGTGTCAAAAATTTTAGACAGCTGTCAACGTCGAATTTATTTATTTTTTTCAATAAAAAACGGATAACAGTCCCTGAACCCCAAAAACCCTATAAAAAAATCCCATCGATATATGTCAAAAATTGACGGCAAAAAAGTGATTTTTTTGACATATTATGTTAAATTTCGATGACACGATCAAGTATAATTTTTGTCGCTCGACACTTTGTTGACAATAACAGATGTCATCATATCATATCCGCTTGTCATATTTTTAACGTTGACAGCTGTCAAAATTGATGATGGAATTTTTTCGATATTTCTTAGGTGTTTCTCGGGGTCGCATCTATATGACCATGTAGTTTTTGTCAGTGATTGATGTCCTGCTTCAGAACTACATAAGTAAGACAAGGGCCGATATAATCTTGAATTTATGTATCAGAAGTGAATTATTTCTGTCCTACTTTGGCGTTAAAAAAAAGACAAGAACAGATAAAATTTTGAAACTGATCATCAAAAGTAAATTATTTCTGTCCTCTTTTGGCGTTAGAAGAAAAACAAAGAGCGATATATATTTGAAATTGTGTCGGTAGATGATCTTTGTCTATCCTGTTTTAACGCGACAAGAAAGATAAGGACTTATTTATTCTTGTAACTTGCAATTTGTTAATGTCAAAATTAAAACATCTTACCACATATGTCAAATTCATACAAAATGTCAAAAAAACTCGTAGTCAGCGTCCCTCTCTATTGATTTCGATAAGAAAGAAACAGACGGAAAGTTCCAGGGGAATAACGATTTTTATTCGTTACAAATTTTTAGGGCTGATCGATTAAGAATGAAAACTTTACGATGACGTCATTTGTCAAAGTCAAAAATAACAATAATTTACAACAAAATTTTAGAAGAAAGACAAGGGCCGATATAATTTTGAACTTATATTAGTAGATATTTATTTATGTCCTACCTCAAAACTACATAAGTAAGACAAGGACCGATATAATCTTGAAATAAGATATCAGAGGTGAATGATTTCTGTCTTACTTTGGCGTCAGAAGGAAGACAAGGATCGATATAATATACTTAAAATTGTGTCCCAATGGTAGATGATCTCTGTCCTGTTTTAACGCCTCAAGAAAGATAAGGACTGATATATTCTTGTAACTTGCAATTTGTGTTTTATAATGTCAGCTAAAGGCTCAATATTTCAGTAATTTTTAACTGTTAATGTCAAAATCAAAACGTCCTACCACGTTGTCAAATTTATAAAAAATGTCAAATAAACTCGTAATCAGCGTCCCGTCTCTATTGATTTCGATAAGAGAGAAAAAGACGGCAAGTGCAAGGGGAATAACGATCTCTATCCGTTACAGATTTCCAGGTTAGGAATGAAAACGCTACGATGACGTCATCTGTTAAAGTCAGAAACTACTACAATTTATAGCAAATTTTTAGAAGAAAGACAAAGACCGATATAATCTTGAAATTATGTATCAGAGATGAATGATTTCTGTCCTACTTTGGCGTTAGAAGAAAGACAAGGACCGATATAACTTTGAACTTATATAAGTAGATATTTATTTATGTCTTGATTCAGAACTACATAAGTAAGACAAGGACTGATATAATTTTGAAACTCGAAATTATCTCTGTTCTACTTTAACGTTAGAAGAAGGACAAGGACCAATATAATTTTGAACTTTTATAATGTCAATTAAAGGCTCAATTCTCTGTTAATTTTCAACTGATAATCAGGCCTATGATGTATCCTCTCCTGTAATTTTAACAGTCGTGTTATAGCTCAAAATGTATACCTGTCTCTATTTTTACGTGTAGAATAAACAGTGACAGATAACTTAACGTTGCTGTTAAAATAACAGGAAATGATACATCATAGGCCTGAATGTCAAAATTAAAACGTCTCAACACATACGTAAAATATATAATAAATGTTAAATAAACTCAGTAATAATCAGCTGGGACTCTATAACGAATAGTCTCTATTTTCCATTGTCGTCTCGTCTCTATTGATTTCGATAAGAGAGAAGAAGATGGCAAGTGCCATAAAGATCTCTATTCATTACAGAGTCGCAGGGCAGGGATCGATTAAGAACGAAAGCGCTACGATGACGTCATTTTTGTCACATGTCGTTTCTCAAAAAAAAAAACTCACGACAAGAAGAAACTGTCATTTGTCAAAATCAACAACGACATTTTCGCTTATGAATATAGTGTCAATAACGTCAAATGTCATAATCGTAAACAAATATCGGCGTGTCAAATCCATCGAAATTGTGACTCACCGAGGCGAAAAATGCCTCTCACAATCGATAAAGTAAATTGTTAGTTTTATGGTCCGCGCCGCGAAATTTATATTCAGTTCGGCTCGATTTAACGCCGGATTAAAATCCACCCGGTGCAAATAAATCGTTTTTTAAAAAAAAAAAATTCCGTCACGTGAGACACGCAATAATAATAGTTGTCACGTAACAATTATTTATGATACGATTACGTAATATCAGGGTTTATTGTTCTACTTGAGAGATTTTTCGACAATTGACAGTTCAATAGCTGACATGTGTCAGGTGTCAAAACATTTAGCAGGGGAAAAAAATCTCTATCTTAGTCATTGAAATTAATACATATATGACTATCTTTTTTTTTAAATGATTAAATCCAATTTATCCTCTAGCGTGTATTTGTTATTAATTAAAATAATTATCGGAACCGATTCCGGTTTCGAATAACTCAATTCGATTTTAATTAAATTATTTACCCATTAACAAAAAAAGTAATAATTAAACGGAAACGATTTTAATTAATAAAATTAATTATAGTTGTACTACTCACTTTGGCGTTTATCTGATAAATGTTGTTGTAGCCCGGATGATCGAGATCGTGACAGATGCAAGAGGTGAGCAAAATCAACACCTCCAAGTCGCCGATTTTACTCGGCAGATCTACACACCACGATATTGCGTAGAGCTAAAAAAAAACACTAGTTAGAAAAATGAAAACGCTACATTGATTGATGTAATTGTTGTCACTTGTCATAAAAAAGTAGGCTTTGGAATTAGAGAAACTGTCAACTACAACATTGACAGTTCTTACCATTTGCGCAACGCAAAAGCAGTGGCGGAAATTGTGAAACGGCACGTCGTTGTAGTTTTTGTAAGTTTCGTAGAGAAAGTTTCGGAGCGTTGCGATGTCGATTGCGAACTTGGAACAAAAATCGTGATCGAGGTACATTTGTTGGAGCAGCAGCAGTAGTTCCTCGTCCTCCCACGGGCGAGCGTCGAACGTAGGCGTGCGCAGCCATTGACGGATGGCGTCTGACACTTGTGCGTCACTAGAAGAAAAAAAATTGACAGATGTTGACGTTTGTAGTTTTATTCTTTTTTTTCTTGTACGATTAAACAAGAATGACAATACTCTCGTGAGGAGTTGCACTGGTTACAGAAAAAGAAAACGCCTTTAAAATTTGACACTTTTGATGTTAGTGACAGGTACTTACCAAATATTGGCGAAATTTTGTTTGACTCGTTTCTTGACCGAATCGCTTTTTCTTCGGTACTGCAGTCGTCGGCACTCTTCGCTGGCCAGAGGTTCCGGAAGTTGCTTGTAGAATCCTGAAAGTAGAAGTTTGACGTTTAAGCGTTTTCGGATTTTATCGAATTGAATCGTAGATTGCGTAGCATTTTCTTTTTAATTAACTTTGAAAACTTAGGTTAAATAAACAAAATTCACAGATGCTTGACCATTGCCGCCATATTGGATCATAACATTTGTGGTTTAGATCCAAGGTTGTTTAAAAGAGGGAGGTGGCCTGATTGACTTTTATAACGTCATCTCATTTGTATGCTTAAACATAATGCGAATTTCCATAAAAATCACCCGATGACGTCATCTATTTGTCATTACCAAACCAAGATTTCCAAAGTTAGGTTGTCTGTTAAGGTTTGGAAATGGTAAACAGATGACATCATCAGCTGGTTCTTATGGAGATTTGCATTATGTTTAGTCCAATGGTTTAGTCATACATATGACGTCATAAAAGTTATCAGGCATTGTCGCCATATTGAATCCTAAAAATACACTTTGTTTCTTTCCTTATCTCAACAGATACAAACAGCCTTCTTTCCTTGATGAATAATATCCTGGCATCAAGGTTTTTTAAAAGAGGGTAGTTGCTTGTCAACTTTTATGACGTCATCTCTTTGCCTGAACATAATGCAAATGTCCATAAGAACCACTCGATGACGTCATCTGTTGTCTGTTAAGGTCTGGAAATGGTAAACAGATGAAGATTTGCATTATATTCAGTCATACAAATGACGTCATAAAAGTTATTAGTTTTTTTTCCTTGTCTAAGGTTATCAGGCATTGCCGCCATATTGAATCGTGGCATTTGTGGTTTGGATCCAAGGTTGTTTAAAAGAAGGAAGTTATCTAAAACTTTTATGACGTCATCTGTATGCCTACACATAATGCAAATCTCCATAAGATCCACTTGATGACATCATCTGTTTGCCATTACCAGACCAAGGTTCTTAAAATCTGTTAAGTTCTGGAAATGTTAAACAGATGACGTCATCAGGAGGATCTGATAAAGATTTGCATGATTTTAAATTGAAGAAAAAGTCCATATCTCAAAGTAAAGTTGAAATTTAATTCAAAAAAACTCAAAGTCTTCCTCCACAAATACAATTTTTGCATTATGTTAAAGCATACAGATGACGTCATAAAAGTTATTTTCCTTGTCTCAGGTTATCAGACATTGCCGCCATATTGAATCCTAGCATTTGTGGTTAGAATTCTATGAATTTGAATCAAGGTTGTTTTAAAAAGGGCGGCTACCTGTTAACTGTTATAACATCATTTGTATGCCTGAACATAATGCAAATCTCCGAAATGATAAATAGATGACGTCATCAGGAAGATGAGAAGCGTTTTCTTGCGGGGCGTATGGTTCGAACTACGGTTTAAACCAATTTGTAGATGACGTCATCACTTGTGAACGCAAAAAAATGGAAGGTTTGAACCACAGTCTTATGTCAACGGAGAACAAGTCATGAGTCTGGTTCGAACTTTTTTGAACCAAGTTCAATGTGACGTCACTGGTTTAACGTTAGAATGTGCAGATTCGAAGCTAATTGAACCGGATCGAACCAGCTCCACCGCGAAAAAACAGCTCTGATGGAAATTTGCATTATGTTTAGGCATATAGATGACGTCATAAAAGTTAACAGATTACCACCCTCTTTGAAACAAATTTGATTCAAACCTATAGAATTCAAACCACAAATGCCAGGATTCAATATAAGGTCTGTTTCTGCAGAAATCACAAACCAGTCAGAGTGAATTTCATTGGTTGAAACTAGTTTTCTGACTGTTTTCTAACAATGAAATTAGCTCTGACTGGTTTGTTATTTCTGCAGAAACAGACCTATTGCAAATGCCTGATAACCTTAGACAAGGAAAGAGAACTGATAACTTCTATGACGTCATTTGTATGCCTAAACATAATGCAAAAATTGTATTTGTTGAGGAAGACTTTGAGTTTTTCTTTTGAATTAAATATCAACTTCACTTTGAGACATGGACTACTTCTTCAATTTAAAAATAATGCAAATCTCCATAAAATCCTATTGATGACGTCATTTCTTTACCATTTCCAGGTTTTAACAGGCAACCTAACTCTAGAAACCTTGGTTTGGTAATGACAAACAGAGAACGTCATCGTCATTGCATTATGTTTGAGCATACAGATGACGTCATAAAAGTTATTAGGTAACCTTCCTCTTTTAAACAACGTTAATCCAAACAACAAATGCCAGGATTCAATATAGCGGCAATACCTGATAACTTGTATGATGTCATCTGTATGCCTAGACATAATGCAAATTTCCATTCCTGTTGACATCATTTATTTACCATTTCTAGACCTGCAGGCAACCTAATTTTGGAAACCTTGATCTGGTAATAGCAAACAAATGACGTCATTGGGTGGTACTTATGGAAATTTGCATTTTGCTCAGACATACGGATGACGTCATAAAAGTTATCAGGCATTGTCGCAATTTTGAATCCTGGCATTTGTGGTTTGGATCAAGATTGTTTAAAAGAAGAAGGTTGCCTAATAACTTTTATAACATCATTTCTGTTTGTCTAAACATAATGCAAGTCTCCATAAAAATCACCTGATGATTACGTCATCTGTTTACTATTACCAGACCAAGGTTGCTAGAGGTAGGTTGTCTGTTAAGGTCTGGAAATGGTTAACAGATGAAATTATCAGGAGGATCTGATGGAGATTTGCATTATGCTTTAACATACAGATGACGTCATAAAAGTGATTAGGCATTACCGTTATATTGAAACCCAACATTTGTGGTTTGGATCAAGGTTGTTTAAAAGAGAGAGGTTGCATGATAACTTTTTTGACGTCATCTGTATGCTCAAACATAATGCAAATTTCCATAAAAATCACTCGATGACGTCATCTGTTTGCCATTACCAAACCAAGGTTTCTAAAGTTAGGTTGTCTGTTAAGCTCAACATCTATACTTCTCTCTATTTTGACGTATACAATAAACAGTGACAGCCAACTTAACGTTATTGCTGTTGAAATAACAGAAAATGGTACATCATAGGCCTGTGTTGGGGTTTTCGATGATTTCGATTTTCGAAGGACCAGTCAAAGAACTAGGTTTGACAAAAACGATTTTATTCTGATAAAGATCTCGATAAAAATGGACTGTGAACGTGTGAAAATATATTTGACAATGTTAAAAAATCATAATGACAAACGGTTAATAATAACACTAAAAATCTCATCCATGGTTACAAAAATTCAGGAACCATGATAAAAATGTTTTTGTGGGTGCGCTCGGAATGGAACAGCCTGATTATCTATATTCGTTAAAGAGTTCCAGCCCAGGAGGATCTTATGAAGATTTACATTATGTTTAGGCATCCAGATAACGTCATGAAAGTTATCAGCAACCTTTTCAGCAAATAACCTAAAAAAAATTACGATGTATACTTGAAACCGCACGACAAAAGTGAAAACTTCAAAAATCAAAACGAATAAAAACATAGGATAAACAAACAAACATCACAAATGCTTAACCGTTGCCGCCATATTGAATTTTGGCAATTGTGGTTTGGATCCAAAGTTGTTCAAAAAAGGAAGGTTGCCTAATAATTTTTATGACGTCATCTATTTGCCATTACCAGACCAGCATCCTAAAGTTAGGTTGTCTGTTAAGGTTTGGAAATGGTAAAAAAATAACGTCATGAAGAGGATCTGATGGAGATTTGCATTATGTTTAGAGGCATAAAGATGACGTCATAAAAGTTATCAGGCTTGTCGCCATATTGAATCTTTGCATTTGTGGTTTGGATCAAGGTTGTTTAAAACAGGAAGGTTTTATGACGTCATTGGTATGCCTAAACATAATGCAATTTTTTATAAGAAACACTCGATGACGTCATCCGTTTGCTATTACCAAACCAAGGTTCCTAAAGTTAATCTGTTAGGGTATGGAAATGGTAAACAAATGACGTCATCAGGAAGATCTTATGAAAATTTTCATTATATTTAGGCATACAGATGATGTCATAAAAGTTATCAGTTCTCTTTCCTGGTTTAAGGTTATTAGGCAATGCCGCCATATTGAATCATGGCAATAATATTAAAAAAAGACACTGAGATTTTCTGGTGAAATTTTTTATTAGATTAGCGATGCATTTATACCGTTAAAACAAAAAAAAAGCTTAGACAATTGGTATTTGTCCTTGTTTCTCCTTTATTAATTGATAGCATTAAAAAGAGACAGATAAACTTTCAAGCACAAGTTTTTATCAAGTAGGCTATGTATTTATTACATCAAATGTCAGAAAATAGTCGTTTTTCGAAATTAATCAGGTGATACCGTCAGAAGAAAAAAAAATTACGTTGTGTATTCAAGACCATACGACAGAAGTGAAAACTGCAAACGATTGAAAACGTTGGGTAAATAAACAAACATCACAACTGCTGCCATATTGAATTCTGGGATTTACAGTTTGGATCGATGACGTCATCTGCTTGCCGTTACAATTACAATTTTGCCAACGGCAACGTTGCCGAAATTTGTTTTAGTGGGAGTCTCGATTGAATGCCAATATCTCTCTCTCTCTCTCGTACTGCTGTTTCTCTTGCCGAATTCATTCTAATTTGACAGAAGTGACAATTGACAGGTTAATTCAAGAGCCGGGAATAGACAAAAATTGATTGAAGAATTTTTTTTTTTATCAAGTTAACCTTACATCTTTCAATTGTCAAATAACTAGGCAATTTGAATTAGCTGATAATTCGAAATGGCGACGTGGGCATAACACACTTAACGACCGTGAAGGTGCCTTTACATTCACTTCCAATGGATTGCAATTTGAATGAAAATTGAATATAAACGTGCCTTTACGGTTGTCAGGTGTGTTATTCCTAGTTGTATCGTTGTTCATCGGTCCTTTTTTTATTAAATAAATTAAAAAGAGACCGATTTAATTATTGGTGAAATTTGTGATCAAGTTGGCCATGGTTTCGGTCAAATATTGGTCACTTCCCAAAATCAACCAAGTGATACCGTTTTAACCAAAACCAATTTTTTATCTATTATCGGCTATCTTTTTTTATTTGATATTATTAAAAAGAGACAGATAGAGTTTCTGTCATGTATTTATACCAAAAACTGTCAATAAAAAATTGACTCAATAAAACTGTTAAAACAAAAAAAACAGAAACAATTGGTATTTCTTGTCTATTCTTGTCCCTCTTTTTTTAGTGAATATTATTGAAAAAAGACAGATAAACTTTCCAACAAAATCTTTAATCAAGTAGGCCATGTATTTATCCCATCAAATGTCGTAAACTAGGCGCTTTTCAAAATTCACCAGATTATACCGTCACAACAAAAAACAAATCAATTATTGTCATTTTTCCATTCTAATTTGACAGAAATGACAATTGACAGGTGAACTCAAGAGCCGGAAATAGACAAAAATTTATTTTTTTATATTGTCGGTTTTCAACTAATGACGATGAAGAAAGATTTTTTTTATCAAATTAACCTTACATTTTTCAACTGTCAAAAAAATTAGGCGCTTGCTCAAATCAATCAGTGTTCTTTTTGGTCCATTCCTCTCTCTTCTTTTTTGATCAATAACATTGAAAAATAACAAATAATATACTTTCTGGCACAATTTTTCATTAAGTAGGCCATTTATTTATCCTTTCAAATGTCAAAAATAGATGTTTTTCGAAATCAACCAGATCTACTGTCACAACAATAAGAGACAAGTCAATTATTGTCCATTCTTGTCGGACCCATTCTAATTTGACAGATATGACAATTGGTAAATAAATTTAAGTGCAGGGAATAGACAAAAATTGATTTTCTATATTGGCAGTCCAAAATCCAGGCAATCCATTCCACGTAACAGGTCAAATATTGTGGTGACGTTCATAAGAAAAGCATTTGTGTTCTGGACCTTGTTGTTGTAGATGTCAAAGATAACACTGCCAATGTCAAATCTAAACGTCCAGAATGTGACAAAATAAGTAATTTTACATTGAATTTTATTAGAAACCTAAATGTGAAGAACACAGTGTTGAACGGCCATATAGAATTTGGTTTGACAGGTCAATAGGACAAACTAACGACCTGTCAAACTATAAATTCAATATCGCGGCAATGGTCAAATATCTATGATGTGTTTCTCTTTTTTACGCACTGTTTGTCACTCTCGCTCGAGCCGACTGTATTCGACCGAATGAGCGTTACCAATTCGGGTGTGACGGCTCAATCTTTGAACGCGCCTAAAGAAGTTTTCTCTTCAAAAAATAATGTACTTTGATGTCAAGAAAAATACAGAACTGTTCCAAAATGTGTTCGGTTCACATAAGCAAATTCTATCAGTGCGCGAATTGAGTGTATTCGTGTCTTTTTCCACCAGCTTGTATAAGAAAGAGATAAAATTAAATTTTTTCTGCACTGGAATTTTCGAATTTGTCAAACAGTGTCTAGAAAGTAGCGATTTCAAGCGTTTTTGCATTCACGAAACTGACCGTATTGAATAGCGATTTCTTTTGAAACAAACAAATTAAACATTTTGGGATGAATTTCATGTTAATTGGATCCTCTTTCCAAAAGAAATCCCCAAAGGGCCTAAAATCGAATTGAAAAAAAAAGAAGAAAAGAGAAACGAAACGAGCCCGATGGATAATTTATCCAATTAAGGCACAAAAAACCCTTTTTTCTAAATTAAATATTTAACAAGTTATCCGAACACACCCACCTCGGTCCTTTGTCAAAGTCTAAAGTCAAACTGATTGATTTGACATTGTTGACAGATACTGTTCTTTTGTTTGTTAGGGTTCGTTTTAAAAATTTTCTGGACTTTCTTTAATTAAAACCCAACAAAATGATAAAATTTAATTAAAAATTAACTAATTGTAATTGTTAATTGTTAAATTCGGTGCCGGGAGTGTTTATTTAATATTTACGTGCAATTTCAAGGGCCTGGAGCCGGTGAAATGGTTTCTGCAATTTGAACTTCAATAAATTCCACTTCGAAGGGGGCCAGGATTCATTAATTAGAGTAATTATTAGGTAATTAATGTGTTTTTAATTAATTAGAACCACTCTATAGTCTATTAAGTAATTAACACTAGAAATATTAATTAAAGGTGTTGTCGTCGTATTATGTCAATAGATGGCGCTGCTTATTTTTGTATTGAATGAATGAGCCAGAAAGAGATGGAGATTTTGTAGTGTACGTTTAAATTTGACAAATCCAATAATCAATTTTTGTGATTCTAATAATTAAAAATAATTAATAAGGGCGAGTTCTCATGAGCGTAAGTTGACATTTCTGGCGTAATCACGTGATGAATTGGTTGGATTTTATTGGTAAAATATTCGCCATGCTGGAGATTTTACCAATCCAATTACACCATATTATCACGTGATTACGCCAGAAATGTCAACTTACGCTCATGAGAATTCGCCCTTACAGTCCCTCAATTAATTAATTAATTAAAGATGTTGTCGTATCATGTCAATAGATGACGCTGCTTATTTTTGTATTGAATAAATGAGTCAGATAGAGATGAGGATAATGTAGTATACATACATGTATATTTGTCGAATCCAATAATCAATTTTTGTGTTTTTGATTAAAAATAATTAATTACAGCCTTTTAATTAACTAATTAACACCAGAAATATTAATAAAAATGTTGTGGCAGTGTTGCCAACCGTACTATAATTATAGTATTTGTACTATAATTGAATGGTTATGTACTATATTGTACTATAGGTTTTTTATCCTATGCTATATTTAGGATGACGTCATCGAACAAGGTCACAGAATGTTGTCAATGTTTATTTTTTTTTCTTATAATTCACCAAAATGTCATGTGTCAATAGTTCTGACGACAGCTAAAAATAACGAAATGAAAATGTTTATACAAGTCATGCAACGTCGCGCGCCGTTGCCAACCAAAAACATCTGAAATTCCCCCACTTCAAATGCGTTAAAAAGTACTTTTGGTTTTGTTAGGTTGCCAGCAGAAATTTACTAAATGTAACGTCATCCTAAATATAGCGTAAAAATCCTATATCAAGTACGCCTAAAATACTATAATTATGCATTATCAAATTATTTACTTTTTTCGTTTGGCATGCAAGCCCTTATTCTAATTTTCCTAAACCTATTTTGTTTGCGTGCAAGCCCTTATGTCTAGTCACCTTTTTTTTTTAGCTGTCGTTTTAGTATTGATAAAGCATGTATTTTTTGACAGTTGACATTTTAAATGTCAACTGTCAAAAATGTTAGTTTAGTGTTTTTTAGGTGACTGGGTTTACACTGTCAATTGTCAATTTCATTGATTTTCCTAAGCGGATCCTTTTTTTACACCAAAAAAGATGTTATCGAACGCATCCCTATTTAATTTTTAAAATTATTTTTAATTTTATTGTTTTTCACAGGAAAAATTTGAAATTTTAGTGTGATGCGCCCCTGACTTTTCTCTTTTTCTCCAAAAAATCTCATAATTTTCCCCTGAATAATTTTCCAGAAGAAAAATAAAATGTTGGATGGTGCATTTATGCCTAATTTGGTTGATTTTCATTAATTTTCAATAGGATTATTTTCCACTGAAAAAATTTGAAACTTTACTATGATACGCCCCTGACTTTCCTCTTTTTTTCCAGAAAATGTCATAATTTTCCCCTGAATAGTTTTCCAGAAAAAAAAGAAAATGTTAGATGGTACCTAATTTAGTTGATATTCATTAATTTCCAATGAGGTTATTTTCCACTGGAAAAATTTGAAATTCTACTAGATACGCCCCTGATTTTCCTCCCTTTTTCCAGAAAATGTCATAATTTTCTCCTGGATAGTTTTCCAGGAAAAAAATAAAATGTTAGATGGTGCATTTATGTCTAATTTAATTGATTTTCATTAATTTCCAATGGGGTTATTTTTCACTGAAAAAATTTGAAATTTTAGTATGATACGCGCCTGACTTTTCTTTTTTTTCCAGAAAATTTCATAATTTTCACCTGGATAGATTTCTAAAAAAAAAAAAAAAAATGTTAGATGGTACATTTATGCCTAATTTAGTTGATATCCATTAATTTCCAATGAAGTTATTTTCACTGGAAAAATTTGAAATTTTACTATGATACGCCCCTGATTTTCCTCTCGCTTTCCAGAAAATGTCATAATTTTCTCCTGGACAGTTTTCCAAAAAAAAAATAAAATGTTAGATGGTGCATTTATGCCTAATTTAATTGATTTTCATTGATTTCCAATAAGGTTATTTTCTATTTGAAAAATTTGAAATTTTACTATGATACGCCCCTGACTTTCCTCTTTTTTTTTCCAGAAAATGTCCTAATTTTCTCCTGGACAGTTTTCCAGAAAAAAAATAAAATGTTAGATGGTGCATTTATATTTTATTTAATTGATTTTCATTAATTTCCAATGGGGTTATTTTTCACTGCAAAAATTTGAAATTTCAGTATGACACAACCCTGAATTTTCTCATTTTGTCCAGAAAATTTCATAATTTTCCCTTGGGTAGTTTTCCAGAAAAAAAATAAAATGTTAAATGATGCATTTATGTCCAATTTAATTGATTTTCATTAATTTCCAATGGGGTTATTTTGGACTGGAAAAATTTGAAATTTTAGTATGATACGCCCCTGACTTTTCTTTTTTTTTCCAGAAAATTTCATAATTTTCCCCTGGATAGTTTTCTAAAAAAAAAAAAATTTTAGATGGTGCATTTATGCCTAATTTAGTTGATATTCATTAATTTCCAATGAGGTTATTTTCCGCTGGAAAAATTTGAAATTTTAGTATGATACGCCCCTGACTTTTCTTTTTTTTCCAAAAAATGTCATAATTTTCTCCTGGACAGTTTTCCAGAAAATAAAAAAAATTTAATAGTGCATTTATGACTAATTTAGTTGATTTTCATTAATTTTCAATAAGGTTATTTTCCATTTGAAAAATTTGAAATTTTACTATGATACACCCCTGACTTTCCTCTTTTTTTTCAGAAAATGTCATAATTTTCTCTTAGACAGTTTTCTAGAAAAAAAATAAAATCTTGGTGCATTTATATCTAATTTAGTTGATTTTCATTAATTTCCAGTGGGGTTATTTTTCACTGCAAAAATTTGAAATTTCAGTATGATATGACCCTGACTTTTCTCATTTTGTCCAGAACATTTCATAATTTTCCTTTGGATAGTTTTCCAGAAAAAAAATAAAATGTTAAATGGTGCATTTATGTCTAATTTAATTAATTTTCAATGGGGTTATTTTTCATTGGAAAAATTTGAAATTTTAGTATGATACGCCCCAGACTTTTCTTTTTTTTCCAGAAAATTTCATAATTTTCCCCTGGATAGTTTTCTAAAAAAAAAAAAAATTTAGATGGTGCATTTATGCCTAATTTAGTTGATATTCATTAATTTCCAATGAGGTTATTTTCCGCTGGAAAAATTTGAAATTTTAGTATGATACGCCCCTGACTTTTCTTTTTTTTTCCAAAAAATGTCATAATTTTCTCCTGGACAGTTTTCCAGAAAATAAAAAAAATTTAATAGTGCATTTATGACTAATTTAGTTGATTTTCATTAATTTTCAATAAGGTTATTTTCCATTCGAAAAATTTGAAATTTTACTATGATACACCCCTGACTTTCCTCTTTTTTTTCAGAAAATGTCATAATTTTCTCTTAGACAGTTTTCTAGAAAAAAAATAAAATCTTGGTGCATTTATATCTAATTTAGTTGATTTTCATTAATTTCCAGTGGGGTTATTTTTCACTGCAAAAATTTGAAATTTCAGTATGACATGACCTTGACTTTCCTCTTTTTTTTCAGAAAATGTCATAATTTTCCTTTGTGTAGTTTTCCAGAAAAAAAATAAAATGTTAAATGGTGCATTTATGTCCAATTTAATTGATTTTCATTAATTTCCAATGGGGTTATTTTTCACTGGAAAAATTTGAAATTTTAGTATGATACGCCCCTGACTTTTCTTTTTTTTTTTCCAGAAAATTTCATAATTTTCCCCTGGATAGTTTTCTAAAAAAAAAAAAAAAATGTTAGATGGTGCATTTATGCCTAATTTAGTTGATATTCATTAATTTCCAATGAGGTTATTTTCCGTTGGAAATTTCAGTATGACACGACCCTGACTTTTCTCATTTTGTCTAGAAAATCTCATAATTTTCTTTTAAATAGTTTTCCAGAAAAAAAATAAAATGTTAAATGATGCATTTATGCCTAATTTAATTGATTTTCATTTATTTCCAATGGGGTTATTTTCCACTGGGAAAATTTGAAATTTTAGTATGATATGCCCCTGACTTTTCTCGTTTTGTCCAGAAAATTTAATAATTTTCCTTTGAATAGTTTTCCAGAAAAAAAAATCGAATAGTGCGTATTTATGACTAATTTAGTTGATTTTCATTAATTTCCAATAGGTTTATTTTTCATTTGAAAAATTTGAAATTTTAGTATGATACGCCCCTGACTTTTCTTTTTTTTCCAGAAAATTTCATAATTTTCACCTGGATAGTTTTCTAAAAAAAAAAAAAAAAATGTTAGATGGTGCATTTATGCCTAATTTAGTTGATATCCATTAATTTCCAATGAAGTTATTTTGACTGGAAAAATTTGAAATTTTACTATGATACGCCCCTGATTTTCCTCTCGCTTTCCAGAAAATGTCATAATTTTCTCCTGGACAGTTTTCCAGAAAATAAAAAAAATTTAATAGTGCATTTATGACTAATTTAGTTGATTTTCATTAATTTTCAATAAGGTTATTTTCCATTTGAAAAATTTGAAATTTTACTATGATACACCCCTGACTTTCCTCTTTTTTTTCAGAAAATGTCATAATTTTCTCTTAGACAGTTTTCTAGAAAAAAAATAAAATCTTGGTGCATTTATATCTAATTTAGTTGATTTTCATTAATTTCCAGTGGGGTTATTTTTCACTGCAAAAATTTGAAATTTCAGTATGACATGACCTTGACTTTCCTCTTTTTTTTCAGAAAATGTCATAATTTTCCTTTGTGTAGTTTTCCAGAAAAAAAATAAAATGTTAAATGGTGCATTTATGTCCAATTTAATTGATTTTCATTAATTTCCAATGGGGTTATTTTTCACTGTTGAAATTTTAGTATGATACGCCCCTGACTTTTCTTTTTTTTTTCCAGAAAATTTCATAATTTTCCCCTGGATAGTTTTCTAAAAAAAAAAAAAAAAGTTAGATGGTGCATTTATGCCTAATTTAGTTGATATTCATTAATTTCCAATGAGGTTATTTTCCGTTGGAAATTTCAGTATGACACGACCCTGACTTTTCTCATTTTGTCTAGAAAATCTCATAATTTTCTTTTAAATAGTTTTCCAGAAAAAAAATAAAATGTTAGATGATGCATTTATGCCTAATTTAATTGATTTTCATTAATTTCCAATGGGGTTATTTTTCACTGGAAAAATTTGAAATTTTAGTATGATATGCCCCTGACTTTTCTCGTTTTGTCCAGAAAATTTAATAATTTTCCTTTGAATAGTTTTCCAGAAAAAAAAATTGAATAGTGCATATTTATGACTAATTTAGTTGATTTTCATTAATTTCCAATAGGTTTATTTTTCATTTGAAAAATTTGAAATTTTAGTATGATACGCACCTGACTTTTCTCGTTTTGTCCAGAAAATTTCATAATAGTTCGATCTCTGTGTGTCCCACCAGGACAATTGGTGGTCATCTGTTTTCCGCAGGATATTATAATTTGTACAAGTACTATAATTCTATAGGGTTCTATACTAGTAATAGTTGATCCGCAGTTGGCAACACTGTGTTGTGGTATTATGTAAATAGATGGCGTTGCCTTGCTTATTTGTGTATTAAATAAATGAGCCAGAAAGAGATGGGGATAATGTAGGATACATTAAAAATACCCCCTTTTTTCCAGAAAACAAGGTATTTTCTTGAAAAAATAAAATCTTTTGAGGCTGAAAAGAGAACGCCTCCACAAAGAAGAAACGCTACAAGGCTAATTAGCTTTTAAGGCAGGGAAGCCCCATAATTTCCAACAAAAGCCATTTTCTGAGGACCAATATTGACGCAGACACAAAAAAAAAGGGGGCCTGTAACCTGTAATACAAACTTTCAACGAATTTTGCTCCAAATACATCATAATCAAGCACTAGAACAACAGACCAAACCTTATTAATATCGACATTAAACCGCAAATTGCATTAGCGGCTAATTATCAAGGAAATTGGGTCGTTTTGGGTGCATATATTTACCGCCTAAGGGCAGATAAATTTAGTTGCGAACTTTTCACCCGGCAAATTACTTTGCAAAGTTTCAAATTACCCAAAAACAAGCTGGAGAATTAAAAGCAAAGAAAACGCTATATTAGGTCTGTTCCAACCAGCCAAAAAAACACCTCAAAAACCACTCTGTATACGAATTTAGGATGTTATGCACATATTTTACGTTTTGCGCAGAATCCTGTACGATTCTTTGCTGGGTTGGAACAAAACTATCATTTATTTGACAGATGACACATTCGACAAATGACACAAACTCACCGAGCCAGCTCAGATTCTCGTCAGTTTCCAGTCGGTCGCGGAACGCGTCGACTTCGCGGCGCAGGTCGTTGACGGCGGCCGGCAGGGGAAGCTCGGCGCGCATCTGGCGCTCGACCGCGCAAACTCGCGCTTCGAGCGCTTTCAGGTCGGCGCACGTCGATTCTTGGAGCATCGCTAGACCGTTGGCGGCGACCACCTGGAAAAACAAAAACAATTTTTTTTTTAATACATTGGCAACACTGTTTTATCCGGTGTGTGAAACAATAGCGAAAGAAAATTCTAGGAATTATAAATCATAAATTGTTTTCTCCATTATGTTCCGGTAAACTATCCACTGTATTCCTCCTACCGAACGATAAATCATGCATCGCGAAAGCGAGTTAACCCGAAAGAAAATCGTAATAAATTCAGAGAGCAAACATCGTACACCTCAAATATGGGTCACGTACGTGTGCCCCTCATCTTATAAATCACGCTCTTGACATCTCGGCCTGGTTTTTAGAGCGAGGGACGAAGCTCTAAACCGCAATCGGACATAAATTGAGGCATAGCGGTTTTGTAACAGGAAATTTTACACGGTGGCACCATCTAAAAGCACATTTCAAACAAGAAATGTCACTTTGACAGATTGAATACTTACCTGTAATGAATAGGGAGTCTCTTTGGTGTTTTGAGGCAGGTTCGCACTGATATTGAGCAGCTGACCGGCAGCGTTGTACAATTTCAGTATGTCGTTCGGACCGGCTTCGGCTGCGGCACGGAATAGGGCTGAAACAGAAAAAACCATCATGACAAGTGACGTTAAGTAGACTGTTTGTCAATGTCAATCAATCGCCATATTCTATTTTCAGCCTGGAATACATTTGGTTTTTAAATAATGCATTTCCGCTGTCGCGGAAAGTAGGAGAAGTTGTGACGTCACAGATCAGCTGATCTGTTTTTGGTATTTACCACTTATAACCGATTGTAGCCAAGCTTCGGGATTTGGTTACAGCTTTTTGATGTTATTATTATTATTTTGGGGAATGATATTGGTGTTTTGTAATTTTGCAGTTGTGTTGTGGCTTAACATAATGGAAGAAGTATACACACACTGCAACTCACCGTGTTTAGAATTTAGATCATCAGATTCGATTTATGACGTTACACTTGACTGTCAAAGTTGTCAACCAAAAGAATAACCACGGTATTTACCCATAAATAATCATCCCAGGCTGAAAATCGCCTTTTAGGAGTACCGTTTTCATACCAAAAATGTTTGACAAGTGACATTGAATAAACTGTCAACGTCAATGGAATATAATAGCATTTCCTTTTCGCAGTGGCATGTTAAACATCGAATTTCATCATTGACCGAGCTAATCCTAGTTGCTCTAAAGAATTACACTAAGGTGCATTCAACGAACGTAATTTTTTAAAGAAATTTCAACAAGAAAATCATTTGAAAAAAAATGAATCATTTCGCAAACCTTGTTATCAAATTATTTTTTCATCATTAACGGAGCTACTCCGAGTTACTCTAAAGTACTACTTGACCGCCATCTTTGATTTAAACTAAGGTGCATTCAATGGACGTAATTTTTTTTTTCAAGAAATTTCATCAGGAAACTGTTTGAGAAAAAATGAATCATTTCGCAAACCTTGTTATCAAATTATCTTTTCATCATTAACGGAGCTACTCCAAGTTACTCTAAAGTACTACTTGACCGCCATCTTTGATTTGGACTAAGGTGCATTCAATGGACGTAAGTTTTTTCAAGAAATTTCAACAGAAAAACCATTTGAAAAAAAAATGAATCATTTCGCAAACCTTGTTATCAAATTATCTTCTCATCATTAACGAAGCTACTCCGAGCGACTCTAAAGTACTACTTGACCGCCATGTTTGATTTGGACTAAGGTGCATTCAATGGACGTAATTTTTTTCAAGAAATTTCAACAGGAAAATCATTTGAAAAAAAAATGAATCATTTCGCAGACCTTGTTATTAAATTATTTTTTCATCATTAACGAAGCTACTCCGAGTTACTCCAAAGTACTACTTGACCGCCATCTTTGATTTGGACTAAGGTGCATTCAATGGACGTTTTTTTTTTTAAATTTCTCCAGGAAAATCATTCGAAAAAAAATTTATCTTTTCATCATTAACGGAGCTACTCTGAGTTACTGTAAAGTACTATTTGACCGCCATCTTTGATTTGGACTAAGGTGCATTCAATGGACGTAATTTTTTTCAAGAAATTTCAACAGGAAAACCATTTGAAAAAAAATGAATCATTTCGCAAACCTTGTTATCAAATTATCTTTTCATCATTAACAGAGCTACTCTGAGTAACTCTATAGTACTACTTAACCGCCATCTTTGATTTAGATTAAGTTGCATTCAATGGACGCAATTTTATTCAAGAAATTTCAACAGGAAAATCATTTGAAAAACAAAAATGAATTACTTCGTAAACCTTGTTATCAAATTATCTTTTCATCATTAACGGAGCTACTCCGAGTTACTCTAAAGTACTATTTGACCGCCATCTTTGATTTGGACCAAAGTGCATTCAATGGACGTAATTTTTTTCAAGAAATTTCAACAAGAAAATCATTTGAAAAAAAAATAAATCATTTCGCAAACCTTGTTATTCAATTATCTTTTCATCATTAACGGAGCTACTCCGAGCTACTCTAAAGTACTACTTGACCGCCATGTTTGATTTGGACTAAGGTGCATTCAATGGACGTAATTTTTTTCAAGAAATTTCAACAGGAAAATCATTTGAAAAAAAAATGAATCATTTCGCAGACCTTGTTATTAAATTATTTTTTCATCATTAACGAAGCTACTCCGAGTTACTCCAAAGTACTACTTGACCGCCATCTTTGATTTGGACTAAGGTGCATTCAATGGACGTTTTTTTTTTTAAATTTCTCCAGGAAAATCATTCGAAAAAAAATTTATCTTTTCATCATTAACGGAGCTACTCTGAGTTACTGTAAAGTACTATTTGACCGCCATCTTTGATTTGGACTAAGGTGCATTCAATGGACGTAATTTTTTTCAAGAAATTTCAACAGGAAAACCATTTGAAAAAAAAATGAATCATTTCGCAAACCTTGTTATCAAATTATCTTTTCATCATTAACAGAGCTACTCTGAGTAACTCTAAAGTACTACTTAACCGCCATCTTTGATTTAGATTAAGTTGCATTCAATGGACGCAATTTTATTCAAGAAATTTCAACAGGAAAATCATTTGAAAAACAAAAATGAATTACTTCGTAAACCTTGTTATCAAATTATCTTTTCATCATTAACGGAGCTACTCCGAGTTACTCTAAAGTACTATTTGACCGCCATCTTTGATTTGGACCAAAGTGCATTCAATGGACGTAATTTTTTTCAAGAAATTTCAACAAGAAAATCATTTGAAAAAAAAATAAATCATTTCGCAAACCTTGTTATTCAATTATCTTTTCATCATTAACGGAGCTACTCCGAGCTACTCTAAAGTACTACTTGACCGCCATGTTTGATTTGGACTAAGGTGCATTCAATGGACGTAATTTTTTTCAAGAAATTTCAACAGGAAAATCATTTGAAAAAAAAATGAATCATTTCGCAGACCTTGTTATTAAATTATTTTTTCATCATTAACGAAGCTACTCCGAGTTACTCCAAAGTACTACTTGACCGCCATCTTTGATTTGGACTAAGGTGCATTCAATGGACGTTTTTTTTTTTAAATTTCTCCAGGAAAATCATTCGAAAAAAAATTTATCTTTTCATCATTAACGGAGCTACTCTGAGTTACTGTAAAGTACTATTTGACCGCCATCTTTGATTTGGACTAAGGTGCATTCAATGGACGTAATTTTTTTCAAGAAATTTCAACAGGAAAACCATTTGAAAAAAAATGAATCATTTCGCAAACCTTGTTATCAAATTATCTTTTCATCATTAACAGAGCTACTCTGAGTAACTCTAAAGTACTACTTAACCGCCATCTTTGATTTAGATTAAGTTGCATTCAATGGACGCAATTTTATTCAAGAAATTTCAACAGGAAAATCATTTGAAAAACAAAAATGAATTACTTCGTAAACCTTGTTATCAAATTATCTTTTCATCATTAACGGAGCTACTCCGAGTTACTCTAAAGTACTATTTGACCGCCATCTTTGATTTGGACCAAAGTGCATTCAATGGACGTAATTTTTTTCAAGAAATTTCAACAAGAAAATCATTTGAAAAAAAAATAAATCATTTCGCAAACCTTGTTATTCAATTATCTTTTCATCATTAACGGAGCTACTCCGAGCTACTCTAAAGTACTACTTGACCGCCATGTTTGATTTGGACTAAGGTGCATTCAATGGACGTAATTTTTTTCAAGAAATTTCAACAGGAAAATCATTTGAAAAAAAAATGAATCATTTCGCAGACCTTGTTATTAAATTATTTTTTCATCATTAACGAAGCTACTCCGAGTTACTCCAAAGTACTACTTGACCGCCATCTTTGATTTGGACTAAGGTGCATTCAATGGACGTTTTTTTTTTTAAATTTCTCCAGGAAAATCATTCGAAAAAAAATTTATCTTTTCATCATTAACGGAGCTACTCTGAGTTACTGTAAAGTACTATTTGACCGCCATCTTTGATTTGGACTAAGGTGCATTCAATGGACGTAATTTTTTTCAAGAAATTTCAACAGGAAAACCATTTGAAAAAAAATGAATCATTTCGCAAACCTTGTTATCAAATTATCTTTTCATCATTAACAGAGCTACTCTGAGTAACTCTAAAGTACTACTTAACCGCCATCTTTGATTTAGATTAAGTTGCATTCAATGGACGCAATTTTATTCAAGAAATTTCAACAGGAAAATCATTTGAAAAAAAAATGAATCATTTCGCAGACCTTGTTATTAAATTATTTTTTCATCATTAACGAAGCTACTCCGAGTTACTCCAAAGTACTACTTGACCGCCATCTTTGATTTGGACTAAGATGCATTCAATGGACGTTTTTTTTTTTAAATTTCTCCAGGAAAATCATTCGAAAAAAAATTTATCTTTTCATCATTAACGGAGCTACTCTGAGTTACTGTAAAGTACTATTTGACCGCCATCTTTGATTTGGACTAAGGTGCATTCAATGGACGTAATTTTTTTCAAGAAATTTCAACAGGAAAACCATTTGAAAAAAAATGAATCATTTCGCAAACCTTGTTATCAAATTATCTTTTCATCATTAACAGAGCTACTCTGAGTAACTCTAAAGTACTACTTAACCGCCATCTTTGATTTAGATTAAGTTGCATTCAATGGACGCAATTTTATTCAAGAAATTTCAACAGGAAAATCATTTGAAAAAAAAATGAATCATTTCGCAGACCTTGTTATTAAATTATTTTTTCATCATTAACGAAGCTACTCCGAGTTACTCCAAAGTACTACTTGACCGCCATCTTTGATTTGGACTAAGGTGCATTCAATGGAGGTTTTTTTTTTTTTTAATTTCTCCAGGAAAATCATTCGAAAAAATTTTTATCTTTTCATCATTAACGGAGCTACTCTGAGTTACTGTAAAGTATTATTTGACCGCCATCTTTGATTTGGAATAAGGTGCATTCAATGGACGTAATTTTTTTTTTCAAGAAATTTCAACAGGAAAACCATTTGAAAAAAAAATAAATCATTTCGTAAACCTTGTTATCAAAATATCTCATCATTAACGGAGCTACTCCGAGCTACTCCAAAGTATTACCTGA